TTGCAATGTTCAACTCTGCCTGTTCACCATTGAGCTTAACGCCAGTTCTTTTGGAAGCTTGCGCTTTGGCCATGTGAAGGTTTGAAGGCTTCTTTGCCGAATCCTCTGAGCCGAACGTTCTTGGCCCAGTTTTATTTCGTGGCATTGTTGAGGTAAGTTCTGCTTTTGTGAACTGCCAGCTTCAGGCTGTCAAAGCGTGCGAAAACCCTTTTGAATACAGTTGCCAAGAAGCGCCGGCTGAGCAATGATGAACCTCAGGAACCTATGCCAGAGTGGCCAGTGAAATTTTCCACCCTTGAAAGCATAGCCAGCACGCCTTTGTCCAGCACATTGCTAGACAAGGGCCTGCGTCAAAAGAATGCAGACATCAAATTCTTTAGTGATGTTGCCCACGCGTGTCTTGAAGAAGGAAGCAACCGGTTCCAGACTCAATGCCTTGCTGATTCCTCACGGGAGTCTCGTTTGCATCACCGACTTCAGAAGGATTTGCCTGCAGTTCGGGCTGTCATGGTCACTACTTTGCGGAACAAGAAACAAACAACGCGGAGAAAGCTGAGTCCCTAGATGGCATTAGCTGATTGAAAGGCGTAGGCTTCGAATTCTCTACTGGGTCTGTTTTTGTTTGTCAGGTATTGTCCTTCCATCTGCCTACATCAAATGGTTTTCAGAACACCCGAGCTTCTTCAAGGATATGTTCTTTGGGGAGACCACAGAAGCGGAGAGGTCTCTGCCGCATCCTCACCTTTGGAGAACCTAACACCTTTTGAACAGTCGCTTTTTCCTAGACTGAGGTTTTTTCAGCGGCTTCGGGAGTCTTCTGCTTTGGAGGAGGTCTTGCGAGCAGGCTTCTAGAGCTTCTGTTGATATTGCTCCTTCAACTTGTAGACGCCCTGAAGTAACATTAATTGGTAGATGTCTGTGTACGCCGCACTGCAGATCTGCAGGCCCGCACGATGTTCCCATTCGGCTGCATGGAGACGAGGGTCCTTACTACAAAGGTCGAAACCTCCTGATTATTTCAATGAGCTGTCCTTGGGTTCATCACCCCGTGCCTGACTTGCACATAGGGGCACGTCAAAAATCCCACATCCAATATTGGAACAAGTTCAACAAAGAACAATTGCCCCAAGGATACATTGAGATCACGATTGGCACTGTGCAACTTGGACACCATACCGGAGAGCGATTATTGTAAGTCATATGAAACGCCATGTGCCATATATCGCCAGCTTCTCTGGAAGCTGAGGCACCATCCCAGGGAAGCAGCTTCTCACCCGTAAGGCTCAGAAAAAGTTTTAAGTGCAAAAGCACAATCGACGAAATCCTCCAGTTTGTGGCTGATGATCTCCAGGATTTGCAGCTTGAGTTGAAAGATGTGTTGGTTGGTTTGAGACTTAAGACTCGAACCAGGATTTCCATGGGCGTAGCCATGACCGAGGCGCTTCACATTTGAAGGCGTTGAGCGCCGAATGGTGTTTCTCGGTGTTGGTGGTGATTGGAAATGGCTACATCAAACGTTCTATTTGTCGAGCGCCCAGCTTAAGACCATATCAAAAGCTGTGCGTGCTGCGGCCTACTTAGCTGAGTCCTCGATACTGGAGTGGCAATGGCAAAAGATTGGGAAACAGGACCTAAGGAATTTGCCTTGCCCTGTATATAGAGCTCAGAGCGCTCCTTAATTGAAAGACAAACCAAAAGCCTGAAGTTTTCTTTTCAAATGCTTCGTACTCTAGGCCCTCTGGTACCCAATCATTGATTCACCCTAGGTGTGAGCTAGGGTAAATCCATGTTTGGGTCGTTAGGTCTTTTTGGGGTGAAACATTTGAAAAGAAAACAACTATATAGATTAAGCGCGCTGGGTGCAGCATTTCTGGGCTGGCTGTAGTTCAACAGAAAGACACGTTGAACTTGATTACTGGCTCCAAATATGTGTGCCTTGCAGGATGTGTCACATTTGCAAGTTCCTTGGCCAGTTGGAAATTGCGCAACAATTGCCCTCGAATTTGTTGTTTCCTAGGAAACTGTTTCTGAGGCTGGCCTCGACTGAAGACCCTTCTGATGGCCCGACATTCTTGCACCAGGGTTCCTCTCACTACTTGAATTGTTTCCCAGATAATGCGTGGGCTACGTCGGTGGAAAGGCTTGATGTGACTTGGTCAATTTTTCAGTGCTGCGCAGCTTCAACTTTTTGCAGGTGGACTGCCCGTGCCTGATGTATTCCCAATTAAGGAATTTCGGAGAAGCGTATCCAACCACACGAGTTTTGTGAGCCCATTGATGGAGCTTGAAGGCTTCCACCCCTTGCTGATCTTCAATGATCCCCTTCATGTTGCGTACAGAGGATTTGTCCCAGACTTTCTGGCGTCAGCCTTCCAGTGCCTCTTTCCAGATGCCGATGTGCTGCTAGAGCACATTCGCGATTATTGCCGCGTCAATAATTGGTGTATTGGATTGGACGAGATCGCGTACACGACGGAGAACGGGTATCCGAGCTTGAACTGCAAGGGCTATGATGCAAAGATTTTGGCACTTTTCCTAGCAAGGGGCCCAGTCAGACTGAAGTTTTTCGCGCAGGGAACTTTGGTCGGGCTAAGGCAGATGTCATGCCGAGTCACCTGGAATCATGTTGCGCTCTTGATGATGAGTTCCTGGAAGTCTTGCGGCGGCAGCGTAGCTGCTCTGATCTTTTTGCAGTTCTCTAGTGTTCGGAGTCTTTTTGTCTGATGTTGGAACGTGCGTGTGACTGCCTGTAGGCGTGCGCCAACTAGTTGGCCAAATCCATTCGCATCATGGAGGCTGCGATCTTCTTTGTAGAGGACGCTGATGTGGAAAAGGGCATCCAGCACGCGAAAAATTTCGTGGTTGGCTACATGTGGTTGGCCCATGCTTCCTTTGTGGAAGCCACGTGCTTGTTCAAACAGCGCCCAAAGAATCTAGCCTGCGCGCATATGTGGCACGTCAGTCTGCAAAGCTTTGGTGTTTTTGAGTGGTATATGTATATGCGTTCTTATGTGTATCTTAGGATGCACATCTGGCTGCACATGTGGGAGATTTGCAAAGCTTTGCGCGGGTATAACCCTCGCATCAATTCGTGCTTTGCTGATGAGGATTTTGTGCGGATTCTCTGTGGTATAGTTGCTTAGCACTGAAACTTTTTCACCTGATAATAGCAACTAGTGGTTGCTGTTCAATTTCTGCCCTGAGGCTTCAGGATGCCACCACCGCGGTACAGCTGTGAACTGTATAAGGCGGTACTTGTTAAGTGCGACGGTGCACTGGCACAATGTCGTGGGAAAAACAGCTGCGCGTTGCATCTGTGGGGTTTCGGGCCATGCGCCAAAAGTTTGACGTTGTCGTTGTTTTTCTTTGGAAAATTGACGTTGACGTCGTTTGGGGTCAATGACGTTAAAAAACTTTGACGACTGGTTCTCCAGGAATGCCCGCTCTGTCCAAGCGTAGCGGTTCACGAAGCTTCTCATCGTTTCTTGTGGTGCCCGGTAGATGTGCTCATATGTATTGAGCAGCTGCCGTTTGAGGTGCACTGAACGAGTCTCAACCGCCTTCTGGATGGTGTCCATGATGAAGGTGACTCCATCCACATCGAAGATCTTCTCCAATGGGGCATCCTCAAGCTCCTCTTCCAACTCGCCCTTGAGGCTGTTGAAGAGAAGGATGCCGGCCTCGCGCTTTGGGACGTAGTTCACGACCTGCAAGGCCCACATTTCAATCCTTTTCTTCCACTTCCGGAAGGCAGCAAGATCATTCTTGTCGTAGCGCCAGCCTGGCGGCTCGGTAGCGGACACCATGAGTGGGTCCTTTCAAGGTGTTCCAGGTGCTCGGTGAGCTCGTGCTTCCACCAGGTGTACCTCGGCCGTGATCCGACGGAGGCGGATCGCCAGGGTCAGGAGCTGGGAGATGAGGCCCTGAAGGTGCCTTCGGCGATCTTGACGGGCTATGTCGTGAACCCTGAGGTAGGCCATGAGGTGAACCATGTGGTGAACCAAAAGGAGGTCCATGAGGTGAACCGTGTGGTGAACCGGAAGGAGGTCCATGTCCATGTCCCTGTGGTGGTGTCGGCTCTGATGGGGCTTTTCGCCTTCGCCTTCTTCGTTTGGGCTCCGGTGCAACATCTTGTGGAGTCCCTTGAGGTCGAGGTGACGGCCTGAGACTGGGCGTGATCGTAGGATCACAGGCCGCCGTCTCCGTTTCTGCCCACTCTGAGTCTGACCCTTGTGATCCGTCAGGACCACAAGGAGGTGAGCCGGCTGGTACTTGGGGAACTCTAGGAACATGTACTTGAGGTAATCCCGGAACATGTACATGGGGTACTCCAGAAGGTCCTAGGTGAGGTCGTCCAAGGAACGTCGTGGTCATTGGGGTACTCCACGAAGTAGTGGTGTACATCTCTGGTGCAGTGCGGTAGGTTGTATTGGGCTCAGCTCTAACCTGGCCGGGTGGATCGGGCTCAAAGGTGCCTGTCCGCTGGCCTCGGTGAACTGGTTGGGACTGCAGTGAGCAGGTCGTCGAACCCGCAGTCCATACAGCGCCAACTTTGCCATTGGTCACACCAGGCGTAACTCCAAGATCTGCAAGCCGCACATCGCCAGCAAACATCCTCCGTCAGGTCGGCATGAAAGGCGACGGGCTCCAAGGAGGTCTCTGACCTAGGTGGCGAACCAAGGGAAGGGCGCCACACCATCCCAGCCGCACCTGCAGCGCGGTCCAGCAGCGGCTGGTCTTCCATGAAAGCGGCCAGCATCGCCGCATCGCGCCGAAGGGGCATGGCGGCGAAAAAGCGGCACCCGGAGTCAAAGCTCCGCTGCCAACACAGCGAGATGCGTGCTCATGCACTCGCCACTTTTCTAAGCTCGAAAGGCTGGCTAAAGGTGCACCTGCGGACATGAGAACGTGAGGAACCTGAATCACGAACGGGCATGCGTGGTGCAAGACAGCTGGAAATTCTCAATATTTGTTGAAGTGTCAAGTCTAGGAAGTCGGACTTGGAGATCTCCCGTGGTGAAGCTGTAACTGCAGATCAACGGCATTGAGCTAAACACGACTCTGCTGACATTGACAGAAATCAACCTTGCGCACCGTCAGCAGAGGGCTCAGCAGCAGCACTCACATCTCCCATTGGTTTCACTGTCTCCTGCTCGTCACAGCTCCAAAGGACATGCCGTGGCCAGTTCTTTGGCAAAACGAGTATCCTTCATGTCAGAGAAGCCTTGATGAATACGATACCATAGCCACTCGTCCTTGCAACAACATTAAGTATGTTACAGTGCGTTCTTGTGTTCGTTGCTACTCCCTGAAAATATTAGACTAGCTGCTTCTGCATACTGCCTTCAACAGGTGAGATTGTGGTGACAGGATCAAACAGTCCTCGGCTTTCCTGAGAAGCTTCGAGATGGCAAGATTTCCTTTGGAAACATGCCTGAGGACTGACATGCAATTGGCTTGTAGACTTTTTGCAGTGCCCAGCGCCTTGCGGTTCTCCCATCGATGTTTCTCAGAAAAACATCTGAGCCTGCCTGGTAGAAGTCTTCATGATCTTCCAGATGCACAACTACGAATCAATCAATAAAATAGTTGTCTTCTGAATTTTATGTCTTGTGTAGAATCATACATATACCAGTCCTCGATCAGAACTTGTACCTGCAGTTGATTCTAGTTCCAAGTTCCCTGCATGTCTTCTTCTAGGATCAAACTTGATTCATTCTGAGGAATTGGCAACATTGACGTGGCAGGCATGTCCGGCGAGATGCAATGGCGTCCACAAGTGTGAGCCACCCCTCCAAGCGTGAGTCTTTACTCCAAGTGTGAACAAAAAAAAAAACTGTGAGGCCTGAGGTTGAGATCGAATGCGCGTGGGCAGGTTCTGATTCTGGCCGCAATTTTTGGCAGCTGCTTCTTGCTTGCCCTGCCACAGGCAATGTGATTCAGAAGCTCCAATCGTCACTCCCATCCACTATTCTCCACACAAACATGACAGGTCCACTCGTGATTGCATTCTCCCTTTTGGCAGGCTGCGTCGGCGGTATCCAGGTTACTGCGCAAAAACAAAGTGAGGGCATGCCATGTCGCAGTCACCAGCAACTAGCTGCTACCAGAAGCCCTTCCCACCTCAGCACAAAGGCAATCCCCCGGAGCTGGCCTGGGATCCACCCCTCCTTTCTTCTCGAAGTGGAAAGTCCAGAAAGCTCTTCTAAAGTTCAAGAGTGACTGTAACAGCTTTTACCTATGTTCAATTGTTTCTGCATGGTTTCTTCTGTGATCGAGAGCTTCTCTAAAAGTTCGCAGAACCAAGATCCGATTGCTGGGGGCAGTGAAAAAAGGTGCACGAGAGTTGGATAATGCTTGAAGATTGGTGTGGCAAATTCACTGTGGAAAAGTACAGCCTCTTCTCGCAGCAAGATGTAATGGAGCCCACTTGTCACTGTTCATCCTGACCCATGCGCTCTGGCCAAGGTGCTCTCGAAGGTACATCTAGCACATGTTGCAGATGTTGCACACTTGTCCGAGTGTAGCACATGTTGCAGTCAGCATTGTGCTGCAAAAGGATCTTTCCAATCGTCGCAGCACGTTTTCCCCCCTCAAGAGTTTACAAAGCACTGGGCGAACAGCAACTGCCTTGTTCTTGTAACTTTCACAAGTGCCTTGTCAAAGACAGACATCAACACATGAAGTGGACAGTTGCCTTAGATCGGCACAGACAAGCACCAAAGCCAATGAGCCAGCGTTTAGTAGGAACAGCTCAATATTCTTTCTGCTCCATGAAACTACAGGGTTCAATTACCTCACCGACCCTGGACATGGCACGTGTTCTCCATTCCTATTGTTCACGCTGCATCAAAATGGGGTCCACAGTGTGGCCTGCAGCAGGAGGTGGTGTTTCTTGGTGTAGAAAGTGAACCAATAGGAGAGAAGCGGCCATCGGCATCAGTTTGGTTGACATCTGCTTTGCCCCGAATGAGAAGCATCACCTGAGTCCGGCAATGGAATCCTGTTGTGCATCCACCGAAACAGATCGAGCCTGCCTGTCTGTCTCTTTGTCTCCCTCTCTCTGTCTCTCTCTCTCTCTCTCTATGTCTCCTCTGTACTCTTTCAGCCCCTTGCCATTTGAGGGTCAAAGTTCACGGTTGCAACGTGCAGCGGAGACCCGAAAAGGCCACCACCGCGATTTACTTCGACGCCAGTCTGCAAGCACTCAAGATGTACAGTGCATCTTTCCATCTTTGGTTTCTTTGCTCTTCTTCTCTTTGGACCTTAGACCTTTCCCTTTTCTTTCCTGTTCTTTTTCTCTATTCTTTTCTTCTTGTCTTTTCTTGTTCAAACTGAGAAGCGCGCTCTGACCAAAGCACTTGCTATGTCTGGGTGTTCCTGAGTAAAAGCCCCAAGGTACTGTGTTGCACAGCCCAATCGATTGACTTCGAGGGCACCTCCCGCACGGCTACCAGCAACGGTGAATATCCTTCGCAGTCTAGTGAGTCGTTCTTTGACCTCGAAGGTAGTGAAAAGGGGTTGCCATGTCAAGGATAGAAAAGCAAGGAATTTGAAAGGATGTTCAAGAAAAGGGCTCAATCCTTTAGTGGGAGGAAACAACAGGAGGACGAGCTCAAGGCTGAATCAAGAAGCATACTACACCAATATAAAGTTAGTATAAGGGTCAGCGTGCACTCAGGGCCGCTTGTACCATCTGAGTTGTTCTAGGCACATCTATTCTGCACTTCATGTACCACGCTTCCGCCGGATTGGAGTTCACAGACGTTCTCACATTTTGTGCAGGCAAAACGTGTGGTTTTCATGCATCCATTGGCATCCATGCGGTCCGAAGATGATGAGACCTGAACTGTGTCGCGGTGTGCTCCCGCCGTTTGAAGTCCTTTTCTCCTCATGCTCCTTGAGCGTGCACTTCCTTGAAAATCCTTTCTCTTGCACCACAAAGTCACCCCAGCATCCCCCGCAGCGAGTGTCTGCTCATATAGACATTGTGCTGTATATATATATTTGAGCATCACAAGCTTCTTCTGGTCCCTCCAGCGTGCGAGGTTCTGGTGGACAAACCATGCATCATCTAAACGCCCGGAGATTGAAACCCAGCAGTCCTTCCTGTTGAGATTGTCCGATTCTCACATGTCACCTTCCAAGGTTTCCTGATGTTGGTATTTGTAGATTGGTGCTGTATTGGCAGAACACCTTTCCGACGTTGGGAGGGCGCATTGAGAATCATGAATGAATAATGAACTACAGTCTCTTGAGTTCAACCATGCTTGCAGCAGCTCACTTCTGAGCATGGCACTGCGTCATTTCAGCCAAAGCAAGGGCAACACCGACATGCCCTTCCAGGCATGCCACATGAAGCCTTGGGTTGGGCTCGACATGTCAACATGCCATGAAACTGAGCAGGAAGTTCAGATTCCGGCCTGGTTCGTCGCTTGGAATCAATGGCGTTTGCATCAAATGCCTTCTGTGAAAACTCCGAAAGGACCTGGCAAGAAAAAGAAAGAACGCTACAGTTCTGCTCGGAGCATCTGAGAAAAGCGAATTGACTATTTCATGTCGAACTTGTTTGCGGCCTTGCCTCGATGCAAGTTACCCGGCCGTCCTGGCAAACTTGAACTACAATCGACAAAGCCCCTAGATCCCCTAGTAGCGATGCCAGGAGCCCCTAGTAGCTTTTTGTTCCTAGTAGTAAGGCCAGGAGCCCCTAGTAGCGTCCTTGCTCCTACTAGCGATGGCCTCCAACCAACTTCAATGGTGGAATTCAAGACCCCAACTGATCATCAAGTTTGGAGTCCTTCTTGTCCCGGCACAATTCTCTGAGCTTGGTGATGATCTGCTGCCATTCTGAGCCTTTGATGACACGCGGCAGCGGAGGTGTTGTGTACCTGCTCGAGAATAACACTTCGAGCAAACGCATTACAGCTGATACAGGCACCTGAACCATTCAAGCGCTAATTCCTGCAAGTTCTCCAGGAGCCTTTGGGGGACAATCAGCAGAAAAGTAAAACTGAAGTTATTCCATCGAAGTATGAGTGACCAAGAATCCGGCGCCATGCTAGATGGCAGGATCGTAAAACTATTGTGATGCAAATACAGTGTTTGCAGCTCTCTGCACCTCGCACAACAACACAGCATGATTGAGAAACATCTCCTCGCGCATTCTATTCACAACTCAAGGTGCAAATTGCATCAATGCAATCAAACAACATGGCACAACATGAAGGTCCACTCAGAGCAAAACTGACCCAATTCCATTGGAATTTCTTCTATGAAATTGTCACCTTCAATGCTGCCACCATGCGATGCAATAGCACAGCCAACTGCAGATTTGCAACATGTGCAGGTATATAGTTTGGAACCAAACAATGACTTTGTACACCAATTCTATTCGTTTGGCGAACCCTCTGAGCCTCTTGCAAGCAACTGTTCAACCCCATGGCTTGTAAATGTTGGCATGTCCGGCTTTGAGTGCTCGGCCCAGATTGAGACTTTTGAGTGACTTCATAGACCCCACAGCCTGAAGAAACCAAAGGAGGAGCTGAGGAACCTTTGCCGTAGGCTTTCACAACCCCGCCTTTGGGAGTGTTTTCAGCAAGTTTTGACTAACTGATAAAGCCTTGAGATTCGGCAAGAGGCATACCTTCCCGATTGCGGTGGTCAAACAATAACAAGCAAGGCAGAGGCTAACACAGGTTGCCTCATCAGGAAGTTCCCGAAGCCGATTTTGGTCCAGGAGCAAGTCCTGCTTTGAGGAAATATATATATATATATATTATCAACAAATGATCCCTTGACACACGAAGTTCAGGAACCGAAATGCACCTCTCAAGCGCACATGTTTTCCGGGAGGCGTACCCGAATTGGCTCTAGCTATGCGCGCGTGCCCGCCCTTGCTTGAGCACGCAATCACAAGTGAAAACACATCAGCATCGATCGATCGTCTCGAAGGTTTCGTGCCGAAAACTCACATCGGTGGGAGCTTAGCCAGGATTGCACCTGTTGCATGGTCTTTTGCAGACACTGTTCGACCCACCACATGTGCGAGTTCTATGCCAGCATTCACCGGAGGGAGTCACGTAGATCGGCCCTGGAGCTGTCATGACTGCCGGTCCCGAAACAGCACCAGTCCTCAACAGCTGCACTGCTTCGTTCGCCAGCATCAGCTCACCTTGAAGCCGGAGGTTTTCCTGTCTCAAATCATGGTTCTTCTTTTCTTCTCTCTCCAGATCCTTCAAGATGCTTTCACGCTCTCGCTCCATTTCATCCTCAAGCTCATGGAGTTCCAGCTTGAGTCGGGCGATCTCTTCATCTGCCTTGGACTGCGTCTCACCTCTGGTGGGGCAGCACGAAAACACAAGCCGACCAAGGAACCACAACAATGTCAATGCTCCGACAATGCTCGACACAATGAGGGCCTCAAAGCTACCGAAACTCCAGTCATCATGAGTGGATGCAGCGGCCTTCGTCACCTCATCTGCCATGATCAGCGCAATCAAACTCTGCGCTATGTCAGAACGTGTGGTGCGAGTCTCACGGATCGTCTTTGCTCGCTCCTCCTTTGACTTCTTCTTTGCAGCAACGAATCCTTCATCAGCAACCAACTGTATGTGGCTACCACGGTATCGTTCAACAAAGTTCTGTCGAGCTCCAACCTTTGTCAAGCCATCTGACAATTGGCGTTCACTTGAAACCCAACGCCACTGACAATGTAAATCTGCCAGCAAACTTTTGATCACCAAGCCCTCTATTGCAACACGTTTGTCTGCTGCTTGCTGAATCGTTTCACGATGCACAGCGTCAAAGAGTGCTTTGCAATCTGTCACCATGGCTGACTCACCTGAAAGGCTGTCCTTGATGTCCTTCAAAGCGACACCAGGCCTTCGAAGACATTCTGTAAATGTCTTGACCATGAGGAGCTCCTCCAAGGCTGTGGCGCATGCCTGACACTCAGCGGCTAAAGAGCTCCTGCAAACTCTGGGGACTTTGAACGACCTCCAAGCAACAATGGATGCTGGCCGCTTCTGGCCCTGCAAGACTCCTTTCTCACAAGCCAAAATCATGAATCCTCCTTGCGAGGTATGATCTGACCTCACGCTGAATGCAGCATCTGCATAGCAAACCAGGCACAAATCACTCAGACTTTTAGCCTGACTACGCTTCTTTTCACCAGCTGGGCAACCAAGAAACTTCAATGTAACTGCTGCGTTCGACTTTGCAAAACGCAATGTCTTGTTCAACTCACGAAGATGCAGCACCTTGCCCTTTGGAACTTCACCGGCCTGAATGCTCATCGAAGCGCACAAGATCGGCATGCCCTGGGTTGCAGGCCACTGTAGTGCTCCTATGAGGCCACGAGCTGCACTGACCTCTTGTGGTGTCACACTGTCTTCATCTTTTCGACCTTTGTGGATGGTCATCGGACATAGCTTCTTGATATACTCTTCGTAGCTGACCTCAATGCCATGCTGATTCCTCAGGATTGTTCCTCCGCAGTACTTCAACGACTGATCTTCTGTCAACTCGTCCCATTTGCCAAAATTGAAATCTTTACGAAGGAACTCAACTGCCTGTGCAAACTCAGCATCTTGCGTGCTTCCAGCCAGCAACATGTCATCAACATGTAAAATCAACATGCCTGTCAAGCTCTGATCCTTGCTGGATGGCAACACGAAGCAGCACTGATCTAGTGGGTGGCTCAACCAACCACGCTTTGTCAGCCTAGAAGCAGCTTCTTGAAACCATAGCAGCGGTGCGTCGCACAAGCCGTACGCACTCTTCTTCATCTTCATGTACAAGTGCTTCTTGTACACTTTCTGCTGTCCTCCATCGACCAACGGCAAACAATCCATTGGCAGCCTGACAATGAGCACCCTGTCAAAACCTTTTCCAGACAAGAAAGCCGCCTGAACATCAGCACAAAACACTGACCATTCCATCCAAACAGCTACTGTCAGCAACATAGTTCGACTGGTTCGACCGGCAGTTGGGCTTGCGGTCTTCATATTCAAGATGTCAGGATCTTGAAATCCTCGCAAAACCAATCTGGCCTTGGCCTTCCAACGGGTGATGCCATCTTCTGTCTCCAACTTCTTCCAGGTAAGAACCCAGCGAGCAGAAATCACACGTTTTGTTCTGATGGCACTTTCAATCTCACTTGTCGTTGCAAACTGCCATACTGCATTGCTAAAATATTGATCAAGCTCCTTGCGTTTGCCCTCAACAAACTGAGCTCGGCCTTGAGGATCCAGCTTCCGTTCATTGACCTCACCTTTGCGAATTGCGGCCATCAAGACATCGTCCATCTCAAGTTCACCATCAACAATTCGCCATCCTGAGGGAACATCTTCAGGAAGCTGTGTCAGAAAAACATCTTCTATCACCAGATCATCATCGTCCGGCGCGGGGATGCTTCCTCCTCCAAGATCGCCAGGAAACTCAGGCACTGAACTGGATGCCCTGATGGCTTTTCCTGGTGGCTCTTCAGAAGCAACATTTTCTGACTTCCTCTTTGGACTCGATGGAGCTGGAGCATGTGCTGTATCCTCTTCCAAATCTGTCGGGGCTGCAGTAGTCACCGACTCACGACGTCGGGGTGTTCTCTCTCGATCTTCTGCCTGCAACCTTGGAAGAAAAACACTGATCACTCCAGGAACATTGGGCTCTTCTGTCTCTTTTGCATTGCCAGTTGATGCATCATCATCTGAACGAGGGTCTTCTGCTTCTTCAACACTTCCTGGCAATGAGGGTGTATACTCTGCATCAAGCTCAACATCATCTCCGTCAAGCTCATCTGCTTCGTCGATCTGGCCACTGCGTCGAAGTTCATCCTTGAACTGTGTGGTGCTCCTGGCTTTCAACTCTTGCAAGTCACGAAGTGCTGCTTGCCGATCACACGCAACCGGCATCCCAGTGTCTTCAACCATTGGCCTCACCTGTCGTGCACCACAACGTAACAACGATGTGTCATGACAAAGCCAATACACATTGACACTTGGCTGTTTTTGTATTGCAACAATCCTTGCAGGGCCACGCCAACCGGACTTTTGCAGCCTTCGTTGATGCTTGCGCCAATACCAAACCTTTTGCCCAATCACCAGCTCCTCTTGCATTTCAGCAAACTTCTGAGTGAAGGCTCGGCGCAACTTGGCATCTGAATCTGCTGCAATGAAAGCTTTTGCAGCTTCTGTCCGTCTGGCCTGGATCTGAGCGAAATTGCCCTGTTCATCAATGGCCTCTTGTGCAGGATTGAAAAACTCTCCACTGAGACCGTGAACATAGGTCATGGATTTGCCAAGAACCCACTGCTGAGGAGTGAACCCACGATGAAAGCTGAGCTGGTTGATTGAATGAGGAACATACAGTGCGGCCTTCTTCAACGATTTGAGATCATGACTGTCGCACTGGTCCATAAACAATTCCAATGCTCGTCGGACAACTTGATGCTTCCTCTCAACAACACCAAGCCAGCTATGATTCTCAGCAGGTTGCACTTCCAGCGTCACACCACGCTGTGTGGCCCATTCTCTGACATGCTGACTCGACCAACCTTTTGCCTCGTCAATGCGCAGAATCTTCGGAACTCCAAAATGCTTCACCCAAGCACGCTCAAGACCTTTTGTGAACTCATCAGCGCGCTCAGATTGTAGGATCCGAACTGCACAATATCTGGTGGCATGGTCGATGATTGTCAACACGCACTGTCGACCTGTTGGCCTCTTCTCCTTCTTATCCTTCTCTCTGCGACGAGCTGCTGGTGTACCTGGTGCAGGAACTCGTTCTTTCACCATGCTGTCTTCACATGCAATCCAGTGACTGTCAACGAGGATCCTTTCATTGAACTCAGTACACTTCAGCCCCCTTGCAGGTGGATTGGCCTTTGGAGGCTTGCGAGCATAGCACAATGGACATGTGTAAAACTTTGCAGCCTGAAGAACATTGTCTGTTGCTTGAATCTCTTTCAACATGCGATGAAGAACTTCCCAACCTGGATGGCCAAGGTTCTTGTGCAGCCGTTGCACATACTCAACAGCACGAGGTCCAACCTGGGATCGTAGGATTCTGTTCTTCCGCACTGGATCCAAGCTATCAAACTCTTCAGACTCGAGTGCCACTGCTCTCTTGTCATCTTTGGGATCTGCTGCCTTAGGCTCACCGACAAAACGTTCAGCTCCTTGATGACGACCAGCCATGTAGTCTGCAATCTCTTGTTGAGCTGATGGCAAATCCTCGACAGCAAAGATGTCATCAGATTCAAGCTCAGCAATGATAGCATTCACGAGGTGACTGGCCAATGCCTGAGGATAACTCTCTGCAAGCCAGGAACGCAAACCAACACCAGGAATACTGCCTTCCAAGTGAGTGTGTGAGTGTGTTCCATCACAATGCTTGCTGATCCTCTCTGACAAGGATGCTCTGGTGGTTCGAAATGTCGTGGGCTTCTGAACTGGCAGCATCTCATTGTGATCATTGAGAAGGCGTAAACCAAACACGCACTGATCCACATGAGCATCATGCCCATTCATCGCTTGGAATGCTGGAGTCGCCCAAGCACGTGAACGTTTGGGATGTTCACACAACGCCAGCTTGCCTTTCCTCCTCTGATGCTCAAAAATCACTGAACAAAACATGAGGATGTTGTCGTGGTCCCACTGTCGTGCAATGTCCAGGGTTTCAGCATAGCCTTCATGAGCTGCACACGTGAGCTCTTGTAGACTGCTCCATAGCTTGCACATAGGGGAGATCAACACACAATCTGGCTCCTCAGACTTCAAATGACGAAGAAATGCCATTCTGTGAGAGGCCTGAGCAAAATCCCAACCATCACTCAATGAGAAACGTTCACTCTGCATGTTCTGTCGCCTTGCAGCTGTCTTGCTCACACGACCTTCTCCAGCAAACACTTCCCACAAGACATACTTGCGGTCATAGTCCCGTAGTGGAGAGGCTTTGAGAACATCTTCAAACTCTTTGATCCTCCGCTCGGTGTCATGCATGAGCTGTCGAAGCTTGCCGGATGGCAGCTTCTGGAAGACTTCACGGTCTTCTGGCGTGGAGGACGGAGAGCAAGCAGCTTCATGTTCATCTGGTTTTGCCCTTGGATCGCAACTCAACTCTTCTGTCACCACAACGTCATCATCTGACTCGAGATCCATCGTGATCTCACTGCATTGAAGGCTCGTCATCAGCTGTGCCCCTGCGTCTTCAGGAGGTGGTCCACTCTTCTCACAAGCCGATGGACTCTGTTGTGACTCCAAGATGGTAGTCACTGATGTGAAACTTGGATGTTGTGACTCCAAAATGGTAGTCACTGATGTGAAACTTGAATTCTCCTGCTCATCAATGACACTGTTCACCGAGTCCTCGCTCACGTTGAGCATCGACTGCACCTGACCATCAAAGAAAATCTGGGTGGACAGTGGCTCTGGGTGAACATGTTGCTCAAAGTCATCTGGGAGCAGGATGCTGGAAGGCTTCGTCTCAAGCAACTTTGACACATCTGAGGCCATGTGGCAAATGAATTCGCCTCGAGTGCCACGAGCACACTTCTTCCATGCCTTGCGGCCCCACTTGATCTTGCCTGCCGAATATGAAATGGTGATGTCCAATGCCTCCATGATTGGGCGTCCAAACAAGAATGGTGCATCACCTGGAATGACATACATCAAAATGTCACGGCGGCGGCCCTCCATGAACGTGGGAACAAGCAAGCAAACAGAAGTGATATTCTTCTCTCCATTGCCAAACCTGAAGCCTTTCTTGCAACGGAAGACTTGAATCTGGCTCAAATTGAACCCTGCTGCCATCAACATCTCGAGGTACTTTCGAAGTCTTCCCTCTGAGGTCAACACTGAACCTGCTCCACAGTCCATCATGGCGATGTCATGGGACATAGTGCCATTCTCCTCAACTGCCAGCTGAATGGAATCTGGCTCATCGGACTCGAATGGAGCAACCATGTTGATGTCAGCATCTGTCTCCGCTTTTCTCTTGCCAGCAACGGGGCACGCTTTGGCTCGATGTCCAGCCTGACCACAACGCAAGCAACGTTCTGCACCAAGAGCTGCACGGCCACGGGCTTTTGGCTGAGGTGGAGGTCGTGGATTCTGCTTTCCACCTTTTCCAGCATGACTCTTGCCCTTGCCTTTGCTCTTGCTTTGCCTTTGGGCGATGAAAAACTGCCCTTGCCACTGGATGAAGCTTGTTCTGGAATCATCGCAACGACCGGGTAGTATCCTCTGCTCATCCTCATCTGATTCAGTCGTTGTCGGGCTTCTGTATATCCAGCTAGGACCTCATCGTATTCTGCAGCAAGGTCATCATTCACTGCATGAATCTCATCATCGCCGTCTTCTTCTCCTCCGTCATCACCACCATCATCGGCCCAAAAGCAATCTGGGTCCTCGTCAGCATCTTCACCATACTCAAAGTCAAAGCTTTCGTCTTCTTCACCATAGTAAACAGCTTCTTTGTATGGTGCACGCCAACGACTTGAGGCCTTGGTGGAATAGGTCGAATGACCTTCAGGTGTACTGTCCTGCCCAATGACAAAGTTCATAGCCTTGCGAACCGTGTCCAGCGACAATGTCTCAGTGCCCAATGCACTCATGATCAACTGTCTCTGCTGTTGGGTCAGTCCAGCTCTCCTCATGAAATACCAGCCAACAACCTTATCTGGCAATGTGACATTGTGGGCTTCCAATTTCCTCAATGCTCGTTCAAAGTCACCAGCATATTCTTGCAACGTCGAGTTCTTCTTTCTATGCAACGTGCAGAAAAATGCTTCAAAATCTCCAGGAAGCTCCGTGATCGCGTCGAACTTGAAGACCTTATCCAACCGTTCCAAAATCTTCTGCATGGCGGTGGACCCTTCAAGATCTGACATGGAGATGTCATCACATGCATCCCATGCACGACCCTTCAATGTCACCAGCACATTGAAACTGGTCTCTGAGGACCTGCCGGCCAAACTCATCTTCTTCTCGTACAGGAGCAACCTCTTCCTGTACTCCTTGTAGTCGCTCGACTTGCCAGAAAACTCAGGAACATTCTCGTGAGCTTTTCCAACATAAGCAGTCGAAGCCGACCCACTGCCTTGCGCTGCAGTCCCTGTGGCCATCAATGCACAATGTACGACCGACAGCAACCAATGTCAATGCAATCAACTCAACCAACGATCAAATCGCAAGCAATGACAGTGTTGCTCAAGGTACAATGTGCAACCAACCAATGCACAAAAGGCTCCGCGCCACCAACAACAAATGATCCCTTGACACACGAAGTTCAGGAACCGAAATGCACCTCTCAAGCGCACATGTTTTCCGGGAGGCGTACCCGAATTGGCTCTAGCTATGCGCGCGTGCCCGCCCTTGCTTGAGCACGCAATCACAAGTGAAAACACATCAGCATCGATCGATCGTCTCGAAGGTTTCGTGCCGAAAACTCACAATTATAATATACAAAAATACCTGGAAAGGTCCTCCAAGTCATGCATCAAGGAAATATCTCTCAATAGTTCCTGGACGTCATGAAGGTGTGCGCACAAAGACACGTACACACTTCGCTAGCACTGTCCTCCAACGCATTCTTTCGCAAATCCAAGACCTGCTGGCTTAGTTAGGGAATTCTGCATACAAGGATAGGAAGAAAAGTGCTGCAAACCGCTGACCTTGACATGCGTAAAAGCACTGACAACCTGACAGGAGGAACGCAGGGCTCAAAAGCGTCAGCCCAAAAATATACGGTTTCGCTCTGCGGCCTCTTTGGGAATGGCAGAGATCTTGTGGTCTTTGAGATCAAGCACCTTCAGGCATTGAAACATGTAGTGCTGTATTCCAGCACATTTCTGTCCACTTCGACATTGTGTCATAGGACGTGAAGTTGCAGAACTCGCCTTTTCCATGAGGCTGGTGTGCCCAAGTCACTGACGCACACCCTTTTTCTGACACACACTATGTGCTCGGCCTAGCTCTTTTCCACAAGAAGCTATATAAGTGTTGCTACAAACAGAACCCAGAAGCTGCATGAACTTAGCAAAACTCAAACCTTGAGTTTGGTGCCTGAAGGTTGTGCTGCGAGGCGGCTGTCTCTAAGGCTGACAAGTTCAAAGTACCAAGCCTTGGCACTTTCCACAAAACAACAAACACACAAAGGAACCTACTAGCAAAAGGAATCTACTAGCGATGGCCTCCAACCTAATAGCCAAAAGATTCCAAAAATACAAAGATACATCAAGATCTTGCAAACATCCATCACAGGTCGCTGCTTGGCAGTAGGAACGGAGGCAAAGATCCCCTTGAGTGCCGAACAACAGATAACTCTCGGGCTTTCTCCACATCTCTCTCTCCCTCTCCGTGTCTTGCCTTGGCCTCCTTTCCATCTTGGGCCACCATGCCCCTCAAATCAGTGCCTTTTAAGGGTCACAGTGCTGGCCAATTCGAGCACTGTCAATGTAGCTGTCTGACTTTACTCAGTGGATCCTCTGCAGCCCTGTTAGTTTTAGTTGCACTTGAAATTGGTCTACAAGAAGCCAAATGCGAGTCGTGGTAAAGCTGCTAAGGATCTTCAGTGCTCTTTTGTCTGCATGTTGGAATGTCAAGGTGCCCTTCTGGAGCTCCTGCTAGCTTTCTGGTGTTTTGCGTGTCTTTACAGTCCAGTCTGCGTGTGAGGCTACTAACTACACATGCTCATGATCATATCAGCTCTGGAGCCAAGCCAGAACAAGCGATCAAAGGCATGGTGTCCTTCATGCAACGGTACATCTCACATCTCAACGCACTCCTCAGAACCTTGGATAACAAGCTACTAGTAACAAGTGCCACGCTAGTAAAGTAGTAACAGATGCCCTACTACTAGTAACAAAAAGCTATTAGAATTAAAATAGAATTTTTTAAATTAACTATTAGCTTCTTGTTACTACTAGTAAGGCACTTGTTACTAGTAGCGATGCACTTGTTACTACTAGCTTTCTAATTACTATCAAATATTTTTTCCCTGGAATCAATGCACAGCAGCCGTTGCCTTGCCTCAGCCATACTGGCATGTGAAAGTTGAAAATTGGTTTGCTGCTCTGCTCTCCTTCGCTCAATTGACACCAGGTATGAGGTAGATACTGCCAAAAGCGTTCGGCGCTGTGTCAGCACGTCCTGTCAGTAAAGTTCACATCAAGAGTTTTGAAGGTAAGGCAGTCAAAGGATGGATCATCTCTCCTGACCAATCAGGGCTAGGGGCTCGGTGCTGTCACCAAAAATCCTGGCAATTGCTCAGCTATTGGTGCTAGACTGGACTCGGAGCCTTCAGCCGCAACTTAGATTGAGGCGCTGGCTGTTTGAAGCTGGCAACATCTCCCACCGCAACCTGAAAGCTGCAAACATCTCTGTGATAGGACGGAAAGGAAGATCCATCAAGGCCCTGCCTGAATTGGATGTGGAGTCCAACACCCTGGAGGTTCCCGACCAGCGCCATGGATCTGCCAGGCAAAACGGAAGGACGTCCTAACTGGGCCTAAGCTCTCTGCTCTTTGGGGAGTTTGACACGAACTTGGGAATGTTGAATCAGCAACCAGTTAAGCTCTTCCTTGCCATTACTCAACCCCGCCGTACGACCCACTACGAACCTCCAAGTTGGCCTCCATGATGGGCATCAGTAGCTCTTGACCCCGCGTGTCGAGCGAGGTAACGCCTCTTGTGAGCGGTGAAGGTGCAAAGCTGGTGCTGATTCGCTCTTTCGCAGACTAGGTCCTACAGTGCTCGCATCTGCATGCTTTTTTTGGCCTGGGTTTTCCGGGTTTCACCTTGGCGTTTTGCCAGGGATGCTTGATTTGGAGTGTCCCCTTTTGGGGTGAAGTGGCCAACTGCTCAAACTGTCAGAAATATATATACAAATATCACCTGTGAAGTAGTCAGACATGACTCTGTTGGAAATTCCTCCGGAATTCTGAAACGTCACTGATGAAGTCTGCTTCTTCGAAGACCAAGAGAACAACATTATTTCCGATTTCACGGTATTACTTTCTATTCAACAATGGAAACGCTTTCCAAAGGACCGTGCCAATCCTTCCATCAACTGCCTATGGTGACAATGGAGCTGGACCGGGCTTGGAGTCATCAGCAGGGTGTATGCGAATGATCGGAGTGGTAAACTTCTCTTTCTTGGGTACACACTGGCAGCAGCACACGTAGTAGAGCTTGTGCAGAGTTAGGGTTGCGCAAAGAATGCAAGCCGTCCACAAGAAGCGAAAGAACTTGCGAACTCTGTGACAACAGCCCTCCATTGAACATCGGCTTCGAGTGTCCAAATCTCCACTCTTCCATGCACTTCGTGCGGCCTTGACAGCACGCAACTGGGCTTGAAGTCGGTGGATTTCAGACTGCGCAGATCGCAACTTTGCCTCGGTTCTTTGAAGACGACGTGCAACCTGATCCGATGCCTGTGATGTAGCTGAGGACTCACGGCCCTCACGCATTGGCGGAGGAGGTATGCGCCGGCAAGCTTCAAGAAGGTCTCCCTCTGTGAGTTCCAAAGACGGATTTGAAGCTGAGACCACAGCTTCCCGTGCATCCAGAGATTGTTTTGCAAAGTCAAAGAGACGTTCACAGAGTCCACCATTCATCATTTCACGTGCCTGTTGTAGAGTATTCGCTTCAATCAAAGCTGCCGTTGCTTGCAGATTGTTTTTGATCAATGCAGGTGCCAGCCTGAATCCAGCGTTGGTAACGATTGACTTCAAGATCTCCGCAAGCTCGAAACAAGAGTAGTCACTGAAATCAAATGTGTAACCAATGCGGCGATATAGTCCTGAGTTCGCCTGCATAAAGTTGTCCATATCATCTGCATACCCCGCAAACACCATGATGGGTGCTTTACCAGGAGGATCGTTCATTGCAGCCATCAGCTGCTCTATGGCTTCTCTTCCGAAGTCACTTTTCCCACCTTCCTGGCTGAGCCTATATGCCTCATCAATGAAAAGCACCCCTTGTTTTGCTTGTTCAATGACTTTTTGTGTCTTTGGCCCTGTTTGCCCGACATACTCTGCAACCAGCTTGTCGCGCTGCACTTCGACCAAAACATCAGTTTTTATGATGCCAATGCGATGCAAGAGCTGAGCAATAATTCTTGCCAGAGAGGTCTTTCCAGTGCCGGGATTCCCTTGAAAAATCATGTGGTACTTGGAGATTGTTCTCACATTGTGGCCAGTGTCCCGTCGCTTCTGGTCCATGACAATTGAATGATGAAATTGCCGTATCCGTTGCTTCAACAGCTCCAAACCGATCACTTGGTCAAGCTGATACTCTAACCACTCTCCTGTTCCACCAGCAAATACCTCTAGCTCAGCCCAGCTCACTGTTGAGGTCATGTTCAGGTCGATCTCAGAAAACTTCTCCAGCAATGGAGGGAATACTTCTTGGATCCTCACCTTGTGCTTCACCAGGTCGGCTACACGAATTTGCCCTGCTGGACCTGTCAGCATCTCAAGGTCTTCGGTCTTCACTAGCAGAACGGTTTGGAAAACTACATTCAGAAACCTCAACGAAAGAACAGATTCAAAAGGACCCAAACAACAAACATGCGCCACCAGAACACGAGGCCTGCCACTTCATCAAACATTCGCCGCAACTGTTTCATGTCCACGTCTCTTTTGCATTCCTCTGCGGTAGCTTTTCCAACACAAAAGTCAAGGAAGGCGTTGCGAGTTACCCTGCCGTCCCGGGCCACAGACTCATAGTCGCGAATAAATTCAGGACATTCATGTTCAAGAAGTTTCGACTGCTTCAAGACCTCCGGGACGGTCACGAAGCCCTTCTTACCAACATCCACCTTGTCCCAAATTCGAATGGCTTCAGCGCGGGTCTTTTTGCCATCTGCTGGCTTTGCAGGGTTGACCTTCTTCGGACCTCTTCGCATTGCTCAACACATTGCTCAATGCATTCATCTGGATGAGTGAGGAACCTGTCTAAAAATCATTTGCTGCAACATGCAAATCAATTAGAGACTCACCCAGCAAGCTATGAAACAGCACACACTGCAGCCGCTGAAACACCTTGTTTTGCTATTCCCGGAGTCGTTCAGGCTGTGATTGCACGACTTGGATTACACATGTTAATAGAAGATGTTCCACACTGTGTAGACAGCCGTCTCTTGCAAATGTAAAGTTACGTCTCCCTAAAAATCTAGAAAACAAATCATTAGTGCAAGCGCTTCTTCAAGGAAGCTTCCTTGAAGAAGCGTGAGCTATCCTGCGTCCAGTCGATAGTAGCTTCCTAGGTAGCGGCTACTTAAGCTACCTCAATGGATCTCCAAGTTTTTGTCTGCCCATGTGGCACTGTCCATCTCAAACTCAAAGCAGTCACGGCACCAAGCCTCCTCGCTGCAAAAGTTCTTCCGCATCTGCCTTCAAAAGTGTAAGCGATTGTTGCGCAAAATCAACTCCATGACTTGCTTTACACACATTGAATCTCAGTCCTTCAGCCTTCCGATGCCTACAAAGGCAATCCAAACCATGGGAAGAGAAGAGGGGAAAGCTGGTTGTAAACCTTAATCCGTAAGTCATCCAATCACCATTCTCGCGAATACATTTCGGAGTGCTGCTTGTTGTGACTGTTCAAGTGCAGGTTTTGGTAGTAGAAGAGGAAGCCCCTGAAAGCCAAAGGTTGATGGGCTCTACAAAATGTGGAATGTGATGAAACAAGACTTTTGCAACTCAACCTTTACAGCATGGAGTGAAATGAGTTGAACAAACACAAAATCTTGTCAGGAATTAGAATGAATCCGATCCTACAGTTGATGCGACCAGTACGAGTTGAAAAGCTGAACCTCCACAGTCTCAAGAAGGGATTCAGCGGCCGCCCAGTTTAGAACCTGGAAACATTGGCAATGTCTTCCTTGACAAAGTCCCACAAACAAGAAGTGTACTAGGTGTTCATTTTCGATGTTCTCTGCATGCACACACTCAAAAACTCACAGTAAAAAGGAGTAGCATACAGAAATATCCAGAACACTGGCTCCTTGACATTCTCTGCGAGTGAAGAATGGGTGATTGCGTGAGACTAGTTGAAAGAGAAGAGTCCAAGAGGAGTCAAAAGATTGTTGCAGTCTGCAGTGAAGCTTGAAGCCCAAAGCACGAATTGCGAAGGGTGAAGAGAGAGAGAGAGAGAGAGAATGCAGCAAGACAGGAGAGCGGGGAGACTGGAAAAGTGAACAAGAGCAAAGAAAATATTTGAAGGAGGCTTACCTTCCTTTGTTCATTCCTTTCTTTGATGACCTGCAAAATAGCGGCTCTGAGTCGCAGTCGGTAAACGAAGCTCCAGTGTCCAACACACCCTTAACACCTCAGTGTCCAATACATCACACTGAGGTCGGCAAATCAGTAGACTGCAATGTTGACTTTAGGCTGCAACGTGCATCCTTGCCGGTAACGCATACGTTGACTCCCAAAAGGCGGGCAGGAAGAGGAGCTGAGCAAACAGAGATCGATAAGTGTTCAGAGCTCCAAATTCCTAAGGTCAGCCTGTTGTCAAGCGAATCATCTCGTTGCGCAAAGCAGCTTGCTCTCCAGTGTCAGCCTGAAATCTCAGCTCGAAAGAACTCATCTCGCCGCAAGCTGAAGCTGCTCAAAAATAAAGTGAATGTAGGGCAACTTGGCCTCGTAGAGACGTATTTCTGTTCCCAACTCAACCTGATTTTTTTGTGCCGAACAGCTTTGATCACTTCGAGCTTGAGCTGGTTCCACTTTACGGCTCCAAATCGATAATCCAAGCCTGCTACTGCAAACCTCTCAAAGAACTCCATACCTTTGACGTCAACTTGCAGACTGATGATATGGTTTTCGAGTCTTAGGACACGCACTACTCAAGTAGAGAAGAGAAGGGTTAGGCACCTGTTTCTTCTGGCCTACATCCTGTTCGTGCATGTCAGCAACATCTGCTACTTGGCCACATGCATCAGTGCTTGATGGAGCAGCAGCAGCAGCAGCAGCTAAAGGCACCCAGCAGTTGACAGCCAGTGGGTTGTCTTGACATATCTGCTGCTGTCGCTACGCTCATGCACAGTTGTAAACATACCCCTTGTCCTGCTTCAGCACGAGCCCCATCAAACATTCTGAGGTAACAAGAAGCAGGTAAGTGATTGTCAATTTCACCACGAAAACCTGATACAACAATCACCAACATGGTCTGGAGCAGTGTAGCGTGAGCAACAAAGGGGATAGCACTAGCAAGCTTCCGTTGGTCCGCTAACCAGCGGTCCAGTGACCAAGGACCCAGTCTGCGTATGACACTACAACCGCTTCTTGCTCCTAGTAGTAAGGCCAGGAGCCTAGTAGCGTCCGTGCTCCTAGTAGCGATGCCCTTTGCTCCTAGTAGCGTCCTCTGTGTGTTCAGACTCTTCAGCGACGGCAGGTGCTTTGAGCGACGTCTGGGTATTTTAACACACCCAAGCAAGCACTTAGATGCATGCCTGCTACTATATATGTCTATGTCGTGTTACCATATTGCTTCCCCTTCATGTCCACAACAAGTGGTATGCTAGGACTTCTTCTCTGAGATCTTGTTAGCTGGACAGCTGAGACAAAAGGGTAAAGAGCCTCAAGATCGCTTAGAATATTCAGGTTTAAGCTACTTCACTTCGCAAGACTCAAGAAACAACCCAGTCAATGGTATGGAGGGAAGGGCAACCAAATCACCCTGGCCCTTCAGCCTTAGATGCTTCAATTTGTTTGAATGGGGCAGCAAGTTGCTGCCGTATGTTTTTATCTCCGTTGTCCAAACAAGACCTTGGAGTAGGAACATCTGAATCTGCAGACCAATTTGATTCTGGGCTCCATGCCAAGCATTCCATCTATATAACTGCTGTCATCCAGCCTGGTACAAGAGTGAACAGTTGGCAAGCTTCGTTGATCACAATGTGGCAATCCCCACTTGGCCAGCACAGTTTGTTGTCCAACCTTTGTTATAAGTGTCACCCCGCTGCACATGTATCCTTGCGTGGCTTCTCCGCCAGCTGAAATTACCGGTTCCGCACAGCCAGATTGCCTGCTCGTGCTTTTACAGGTTCTGCATTGTTAACTGTTAAATGTCTGTGATGCTTCAAAAACCATGCGAAATCACTTGTATTTGTTAGTCTCCTTCACCAAATCATCAATCAAGCCAGTCAAGTGTGAAAGTTGTTCAACTTGCCACAGAAATGCTTGTGAAGTCTCTTGTTCTAGGCAAGGTTTAGTGCGGCACCTGTCAACAGTACTGTTCTCTTGACAAGTGCTTCTTGTATTTGAATGGAACAAGAACCTACAGTGCTGGATGGATGCTGGCCTGCTCTGATAAAAGTCCATCACCAACGGCCTGGAACATGCAAAAAATCTGTTGAATTGGTAAAGGTGTTACTGTAGATCTTTTCAGCCAACTGCCTCAATGGGCCAATTTGGATGTCAGAAAGCCACACATCCTCCAACACCACCTCGACAAAAACAGTAACAATTGAGGAGAGACACTGAGAAATTGCATTGGAATGGCCTTGGAATCAGAAGCGCCTTGTGGCCTCCAAACGGTCGCACAAGAGCACAAAAATGAAAGTTGCGCCGCTTCGCACCACCTCAGACCGAGCTCTTCTGCTCGCTTTGGAAGAAGCAAAGACCTCAAGTATACACACTTTTAGCCCGCAACAATGTCCTGACCAATCGCAACGAAAACGACAGTTGAATAGCCAGGCTCCCCACGTGGTGAGGCCTGTGTCCAGCATGAACTTTAGTTTCACCTCACCGCATTCCATCTCTGGTGCTGCTGCCAGCACTCAGGTCACTCGTACGACAGAAAGAGCCAGATGGAGGCATTCATAAAGTGGCCTCTTGGTGTGCTCCCTTGGCGACAAGATTCACCACGTCATAGCCTTTCCCGAAAAAGTCCTGCTCTGAAGCTCTGCTGCGCTCTGTCGTCGTCTGTGTGTGTGTGTGTCTCTCTCTCTCTCTCTCTCCCTCTGGCCCACAATGCTAGGCAGCATAGCTACAAACACAATTCCGCACAATACTATTGTGCCACTTCATCTACATCAATCTTCAACCTTGCAGGAACTGAATGCTGGTCCTTCAATAGGTGCAACTCTCTTTTTAAACTTGAAACAGGCTGCAAAGACCACTGGTCATAACTTGAAAGTGGTTCAGGTGACAAAGGAAAATCACCTCGTCACCTTCTGGATCTGTGCAGCACAAGACGCCATGACAGCTAATGGCAACGTGGCAGCTCTCAGCCGAGATTGGGTAATTGCAGTGTTGCAGTTTCTTTGCGATACTTTGCGGCTGCTATCTTTGATATTATATACTATTCTCATATCAAATGATACATCCAATTTCAACCAACGGCTGCAGAGCGCTCACTGGAGTTTCTCACCCAGGACACGCCGCGCCATCGGGCCAACTTAAGCCAGCCTGAACCAGCTCAGCGCTTCTGAGCCATGTCCTGTCATTGGATACAATTTGATAAGACTGAGCAAGACTCTTTTGCGAAACGGGTACAACATGATACAAATGATTTTGCGATGCCTGATGCACCTTGCTGGACAGCATCAGTAGACTCCTGCAAAGGAACTCTGCAGCAAGGTGTACACACCCACACACAACTTGTTGTGTTCATGTCCGCCTTCCTTTGGCATCCAGTGCGGACTGCAATTGCGCCAAATCCTGGAAGCAATGTTGCGGACTGTCATAGCATGGCCCTTCTAGGCAGCTTGGACCATGCCACAGGTCAACGGAAAGCTGATGGCAGCGGGCCTCTGCCACACTTGCAGCAACTTTGGGATTTCCAGCCTGAAGCCTCAATCCGACATGCGAGAAAAAGTCTCTGTGCTCCTTAAGACATGTTTTTCGGCTGCAAAACAATCAACTGACAGCAACTCGTTTTCTGACTTCTCCTCCGCCTCTCACACTTTAGGTATCAGGCTTGGAGAGCCGCCAACGCAGGTCCTGTATCAAATTGCCAAGACCAATTCGCATCCCTGATATCTTGTGGAGCTGGACCCTGCTTGCAAGACTGGCATCCAACATATGCTTAGTCTACAACTGAGTCTACAGGATCTCTCTCCTGAGCTTGCATTTCACATTCGGATAAGGCTTTGGAAATATCCTGGTCAGCGGTCCTGCCATAAAGGACGGAGGACTGTTTAAAGAGCAATACTGTACTATCGCTTCCAGCGCCTGAGATGTCCCAGGCCCTCACATCTCTGGGTAAGGCGGAGCTCCTGCACAAAGACTACTCGGCTGCTTCTCAACTTGAAAGCAAGCGACGAAAGCGGCCAAGCAACAATTAAGTAAGAGTGCCAAAAGAGCCAACAAATGTCATCATTGTGCAAAACAAGTTGGTTCAAAGGCCGAGCCTCTTCCAACTCTTTTACCTCAGCCTGTTGGCTCTGCTCCATAATCGAGCAGTTGAAAACATCTCTCCCCAAAGTCCACCAGCCTCTATCTTCTTCTTCTCATTTCTGCTTTCCTCAAGTTTCACCTCGAAGGTGTTAGTGCTTCCACAATTCTTATCCCTACCACTATCAACAGCTTCGCTCCTGGAGTCGGGCTTTCTCTTCGTCCCATTCTTTCGCAGGTGCCTGGCAACAACTGGATAAATGAGTTTGGACATATCGAGCACTGGGAGAAAGTGACCTCAACCAGTTTTTGCACACTCCAAAACAATCACAAAACTGCAAATGGCCCCATCGCTGAGACGCTGCCTTCAGCTGACAACCAGCTGCTTCATCTACGAGCAATCCTGAAAAGGCAAAGAATATCTTTAGCAACTTCTATTGTCTGGCAAAGAATGATGGATACTAGATACTATAGTTACTATATATAGACTGATTGAATTCAAACGGAACATTACTTTCGCGGTTGCAAGTCCGCCTGATTCCTGGAGCTTGGCTAAAGACTTTGCAGCAACCAAGTCTGCTTCTTCAAGGCGTTCAATCTGCAGAGATGCTTCTTGCAGGCGATCCTCTCGGTGAATAAAGTCTGATCTTTTGCTGTGCTGGAAGTCCTTGACACAGGCTTTCTCCTTCGCGGAATCACAATTTTGAATCATCTCCGACACTTTCACTTCCCTTTCAAGAACAAGCGCTTGCATAGACTCAACTGATACTTCCAGGCTTGCAACTTTATCTTGACTTTCAGCAAGTTGGGTCTTCAAATCGGCAGCCAAATGTTCTTGAAGCGTCATGCCATTCATACTTGCACATGCCTCCTCGTTCCTTGCAATACCTTCTTCTCTGAGTCGAAGTTGCTGATGAAGCTTCACTTCTTCGGTGTGTCCTCCTTCTTCCACTTTACACATTTGAGACTTCAAGTTCTCGGCTGACGTTCGGTGCTTAGCTTTCAGCTGTCCGATGCGCTCATGTAAGTCTCTCCTAGTCCCCTCCTCCTGTCTGAGATGACTCTGGTATTCTTCAATGGCTTCCATGCGCTCTTCAGCGCATCTTAAATCTGTCTCGCGGTTCTCCAAATCTGCAGCATTTTTTTCAACTCTTGCTCGGAGTTGGTCCACACTAGCAGCATTTTCTTTCAATTCGGAGAAGTATTTTGACCGCAGCAGCTTCTCTTCTTCTTGAGCACATTTAGCACATTGCTCGCTCAGTTGCTCGTCCCTCTCTGCAAGGCTCTTCCTCAAGTCAGCTGCTGCCTTTTCAAGCCGGCGCCGCTCGACTTCGAAAACATCCAGCACTGGCTGAGCAGCCATTTGAGCAAAAAGGCTAGCACTCTGAGCTTTTTGAGTGAGCAAAAACAGATGGACCTATGTCAAAGACTCGGAATGTCGACTCAGGCAATGGTAGGACAGGCTCCTGTGGAAGCTCCAAGAGTCTTCGACTCTCCTGTTGCAGGAAATGTCTTTATTTCAAGATATTTGGCAACTTCAAATTGTTGAACTGTTGCCGCAACCAATATGCCTCTGCCAAAAGACCAGGCCGTTTGTTGGGCACGGCCTTGCCATGCAAAGCGGTGTAAAATTTGACCTTTGAACTCTCAAAGGCGCATAGAACTAGATACTGTCAAGAAAGTTCACTTGACTTATGTTGGCTCCAAAGTGTTGCAGCCTTGCAGGCAAGTACTTGTACACGAGTTCCTAGTTTACAAATAGAAGAACAACAGTGCAGCCGTCCCTGAATGTGACTTAAAAGTATTGAAAGGGGATGCATCTTTTTTATCTGGGATTCCCTTATGTCTGGAACATGAAATATTGAAGAAATCGGAGCATCTTTTTGCCTCAATGAACTGCCGGTGGACACTTGAAAGTCCTTGCAAACCATGCTCAGGCCCATGCAAAGGTCCATGATAGTGCACTACCTTGTCTTGCTGTGACAGGACAGGCAACAAGAAGCTGAATGGCCAAGGCCCACACCACAGCCAATGACCTGTCATTGAAAGTCAATGATAATTGATAAAGATTGATAAAGAATAATGCAATCATACAAAAAGGTACCTGATCAACTCGAGAGAAAGTCCCCTTCCTACCTAGACCTGAAACATCTCTGGTCCCCCAACCCTGAGGGCATCACAGCTAGCACTCGACGAATTGTTCGGCAAAAGCGACCTAAGACACCCAACTTTGCGTGCAGGGTGAATGGTGAGCAGGCAAGTGTCACTAAGGAATCTGACACTTCATCAAAGCATTGGCTGCTCAGCTAGTATAGCAGCTACTGGTGGCAACAACATGTAAGAAAGTCCAGCTGCAGATTGCGCTTTTCACTTGATTTTAAACCTGTTTGGGAAAGCAGTTCAGTCTACCAAGTGATCCGACTCGGACCTCATGGCCAGAAAAACTCTTTGAACCGCCCGCGGTCAGAAGAGCCTTTTTGTCAATCACACCACAGGAATGTTTGCAACAAAGAAAAGTGCACTGACAAATTGACAGATAATCTGAGACGTGAACCAACACACCAATGACCCACATGACGGCCGTCTGACTCTCTCTCTCTCTCTCTTGTATTTTCAAGGAAGCAACACTGCTTCAGGAAGCGAGATGTCAGACTCTGGCACTCGATTTGATGCGAGAGCCTTCCAGGGCTATTTACAAGGGACGTCTTCGTCCTTCCTCCTCATTCTTGACTTTCCAAACAAAAATCACCAGTAGCTCATAGATCTCAGCATCTGCCAAACGTTCAAGAACAAAGATCTTTAACGCAAGCATGTACAGGCTGCAGCTCCTTCTAGACATGCAGGCTGCATAAATTTTGAGTTGCACAAGTGCTTAAGGTGCCCGTTCTTCAGGCACATCATGAATAGCTTGTGGCAAAGGAAATTGGAGGCCTTGGCATCACTGGGCTGCACTCCTTCCAGATATGCTACTGTTGAGGCCAAGACTGGCGAGAAAACACGCCGCCTTAAAGCATTCATGATTAAGGTTTTGCAATCAGCAATCTTGACACGTCATGTCACAAGCTTAGATCCGTTCCTTCAGACGTCTCATCCTTGTCACAAAACGGAGCATAAAACCGACCCAAAGATCTTAGCAAGCTGCTGGGGTCATGGCCAAGGTGCCACGAAACTGTCGCAGGGCCTGGGCTTTGCCAAGGTTAGTACGACAGCAATATATGCTTTTGTCTTCAATGCCAGCGCCTCCAGCCAAAAGAAGAGTGCACCAAACATGTCCAAGGTGTCCTGATGGAGCCAGACCATGGCACACATGCTCGAACAAAGTGCACACAGGACTCGAAAGAGTCCTGCTTCTGTTCTTCGAGACCCTTCTTGGCCGCATCCGCAATGATTTCATCAGCAGAAGCTCCACGTTTGATGGGCGGTACGCTCACCAGCTCTGAAGGCAACAAGGTATAGTTTTCACCTGTGGGATTGTCGTCCACAGACATCGCCCTCTGTTGAAACTGCTGTACTTGAAGCAACAAACTCAGGGCTGTCTGTGGAGTACCCAGAATGTGTGTTAACACAAAATCTTCATCGTTGGAAGACCTGGTTGGTCTATCAGGATAGCTCGAGCCCTCTGCGTGCCAAACTCGCTCGTCTTTTGCCCCAAACTCGGGTTCAAGAGATGCGGCAGATAGATGCACACGGGAATCAGGAGGGCCATCTGCATGCCACTCCGCAGTTTCCAGCTCCGTGCCCACTGCCGTGCCATCACAATGCTTTGTAAAGTCTTGAAGTTGAAGAGATTGTTGCATAGTGAATGAAGGAGGTAAATAATTGTTTCCGCGAAAGTCACAGGAATGTTCTGGAAGCATAATGTCTTGGTTGATACTGTCATCCGGAGACCAGAGCAGCTGATGATTTAGAAGAAAGGACAGCGCAGACTTCTCAAGTTTTTCCCTCTCCAAAGACAGCAACTCCCGCCGTTCATCAGAACTCACACTGAAGCCACTGCACAGTGCAGGATCCAAACAGCCATAAACACACCAGTCCCCGAGGCATGGTGTCGAATGCTGTAGTGCTCTCATAATGCTGATGATTTCACTTGCCGAAGGAGCCAAGCAACACCAAAGCAAGATTGGATTCACGAGAACTCCTAGGAGCTCTTCTGCAAGCGCTTGTATGCGATGAAGCAAAAAGTCGCAAAGAAGTTCCTACAATGCACACTGAAGCAAGCTGCTTGGAAGCAAGAAAAACATCATGTCAGAAATGTTCCTCCATTCCAATCCAAACCCCATCAACAACTTCCTGTGCCTCCTGTATTGCCTGTCCCAAGGAACGGGGGGTTCTCCGGGAAGTTCTCATCTTCATAGCGTTATCATCGGTATCGCAACATGACCACAACATGGTCATAGGTATCACAACATGATCATCGGCTTCATAACATTGTCATCTGTTTAACATTGTCATCGGATGACAATGTGGTCAAGTTGGTTGGGGTGGGGGGTGGGGGGGCCGGGGGAAATGGGGCATCACCTATCATCAGCCTCATAGCGTCATCATCGATTTCATAGCATGATCGGCGGTGTCATAACATTGTCATTGGCTTTTCAACATTGTCATCGGACAACAATGTGATTCAGTTGGGGTGGGGGGGAGGGGGTGACACGAAGTGCAATTGCAGCGGGGCTCCCTTGGAAAGACACTGTCCCGAGAGCGGTCCACCGCGGAAAAAGCTGACAGGTGCTATGGCGCGCGCAAGAAAGCGGTTGTTTACCAGGCTTGAGCCAAATACGTCAGTCATGTGTAAAGAGTTGCTACACACCGGGCGTGCAAAGATCTACGTGAAGCCAAATGGGTTGCATGGAAGGTTTCTGGTTAATCGGCAGCTCATACAAGTGAATCGAATGGCATGCGCTCAGTGCACCGTCCCAATGCTTCACACAGACGTTGTTGTCATTGCGATAAAGGCACGTTATACGATGGACTTTCATTTGTATATATAAAAGAATATATACACCTATATATTTATACAATTCAATAATCCTTCAGCACTCCAAATTCTTTAACATCTGTATTAATCTCTTTCACTTGCTGGAAATCTGATATCTTTGCTTCCAGGGGATTTTCCCTGAGGGATCAACTCACCCAACAAAAGGCTATCAGATGAAATTCTGAAATCGCCAGAGAGAACCCCAACAGAAAAGTGATGCAGGAATTTCCAGCGAGGCAGAGATTAATCTGGACCTGGAATCTCCCATTGGAGACGGGCTGTCGGAGGATGAAGTGAAACCGAACAGGTTTGCGACCACAATTGTGGAAGCTGGCAGCGAACTCTATCGGATGTTGCGAAATCGAATGGGACAGGGCCTGATTGGTCCCAGCGGCTCAGCTGATCAGCTATCTCATTTTCGCGGCCAGCGATATGAGAAACGTCTAGTTCCATACAAGTACATGCCGCTAGGAGACATAATTTTTCAAGAAAAACACATAGTGGGAATGAGGTTGTGAAAAGTGTGTTGCTACCCGCCTCGGCACCTGAGTTGTCACTCAGAGAACGAATCAATAGCGGGTAATCGATGTGAGGGAAATGTGCGGGATACAACAAAAAGGAGGGCAACATGTGATATTTCGCTGCAAGTCGTCCTGAACGGGGATATTCAACTCAACCAGTTCGCTGTGAGTAAATCGTTCGGAAAACCAACGAGTGCGACCTGAGCTATCACGGACGTATCGACCAATCTGGCAGGAAGAGCCTGCGGCCCAGACGTCTGCTGCTGCTTCTCCTTGTCAAAGCGGTTTGGGAAACATGGGGCGAATGGGAGAAAAAGCGGTCAACCAATCTTCAAAAAGGTTCAGTGTACGAATGGAATGCGAAGACAAAGTTCGTTTGCGTTCTGACAAGTGTAGCTGGTTAAGATCCTCACGAGTTTTCACTTGCTGATGCCTCACTGAAAATAGTGCCACCTACTGGCACGGCCGTTCCCTGTGGACGGGAATGGAAAGTCAAATCATCGTTGACACAAGCTGGGACCTGTAACCAATTGCTCGGAACGATGCTGAAATGTGAAGCAGGGATGGAGTACAAATCACGAAACAGATGGTTTAACCATATGCGCATATATGGAAACAGTTGAGTCAACCACATGGCTAAGCCAATGAATTTCTCCAAAAGTTTCGCGGAAGTCCGGGTGTTAGGTTTTAAGTCGCCTAAGAGCTTACGAAGTTTACTGAGCTTGTCTGCAGGAACCTCAATGTAAGCGGAGCCAAAGTGAAATCTCCATCCAATCCAAGAGGTGGAGTGGGAGAGCTCACATTTTTTCCAACTCACAGGAATGGCCAGGCACTGACACAAAATGCACAAAAGCGTAGCTGAGATTGGCATGATCTGTTCATCTTGAAAGAACAGAAAGTCGTCCACATACAGGAACCCCGCATGTGGGAACCACAACATCAAGTGCATCAAGCGGAGGATCCATCCTCCAAGTCTGGACCACCGCGAGGCGGAAAAAGTGGCGCCGAAGGGGCAAACACGATAGAAGTAGAGGTCTCCCTCGAGGGAGAACCCTACAAGACCCCATTCAGCTTCTTTCAAAACCACCCGTTTGTGGGCCGATTTGATACCCAAGCTAAAACCCATGAGAGCACTGCTAGTTTGCCTCAAGGGAAGACAGCGAAGAACATCCTTAGCTGAGGGCAGAGTTGAGCGTTCCGGGATAAAGCAGCGGTTGTTCAAGCCACAAACTGAGCTGTCAACGACCAGTCTTGGTGGACGGCCGTCCGATAATGCGACGCCGAGTTTGCCGACTGAAACTCCTGCAGGGAAGGCCGCATCCTTTGTCCACCTCTTCTTGAACGAGGGAACGGGTCAGGTCAAGGTCGTCATCGGCTGATTGCCAATTATTTAAGTGAACGGACAGGGGCGTGGAAAAAGATGGTGAACTATTGGAAGCGGGGAATTCATTTGAGATTGGGATGTCATGGAAAAAACCGTGCAAACGCCGGCTTGCAAACAAGGCAAAAGAGCCGTGTCACGGTCGCGCATGGCTGCGCTCAACTGTTCCATAACGGCTAAATGCATTGGTTGGTGATCTCTAACGGACCAGTCCACTGGCAAGCCCTTTGATTGCAACCACCTGGTGAGATCTTGACGGAACTCCTCAATGATGTCAGGACCAAATGGAGCGTCTGGACATCATCTAGATATGTGTACCATCAGTTGTTTGTGTAATTGACGGGCCGTGATGTTTTGGCGCCGTGTTTTTCGAAGAGATTCAAAAACATCAGGATGTGACCGGGGGCCACTCCAGTCAGGTTGTGAGGACAGGCCACCTCCATCTTCTGAACTCTGGGGAAAGGCGTCAACAGGTTTCCAAGGAATAGTGGCTGTGGCACTATGTAAATTGTAGTAGTCACAACCCCCGGAAGAAAGCAAGGGAAAGACCAGTATTGGGCCTGAAGCGGTCAATTGGCCTTGCACGTGCACATGGCTACCTCTGGGATGAGGGCAAGCGCATGCAAAAGTAGATAATTTAGAAAAACCACGGGCGGAAATCCAGGACTTCGCAACCTTCATTCCATATTGGCAAGCTGCAATGCATATGCAAGATGCTGAAATAGACTGTAAAAAGGCTCGGGCCACAGGCTCTAGCCAAGACATGTCATTCGTGGGTTGACATGGCCGCCCGCCGAAAATACAAGGCATAAACAGCAAACCACTCTTTCAAGCATCAAGAAGCTCTCCTGGACCTTCTGGAGGTCGTCAGCTGAAAGACCTGGAACTCCTGCCAAGTGGTCAGGTGTACGAAGTGCTGGTGGGCCACCATCGTCCTGAAGTTTAAGCCGAGAGTATTGATTACAGCTAGGACTACCTGCTGCATAGGCGACTTGCCCACTAGAACAAATGCGGAGCACTTGTTCGAAAGTGGAGTCGTTCAGCAAGTCCATTGAATCATCTAACAAAATATCAAATGAAAGGACATTGCACGCACGAGATAATGCTGCTTGGGATAGTGGCCGCGTAACTCCTGCACAAATGTCCAAGAAAAAACGGCCGGGGAGAAAAGATGCTGCCTGCGTCAACGCTGAGTCCGCTTGAGGTCCCTTCGGGATACAAGGCGGAGGCTCGGGCACATGAGGCCGAGGCGGGTCGGAATGGTGAAGGACCTGAGCGGGTCCTGCAGAGTCAACTGAAGTCGAAACTGCGTTCAATGAAGGTGAAACGGAATCGATCGTAGGAAGTCCGCTGGAGGGAGACGCTTCAGTGGAGCGTAGTCAGTGAGGTGTTCGCTTGTGATCAAACGCGGTGTGATTAGCACCACAAGCCGTTCCATCCTTCTTGGGATACGCACATGCATGCAGGAAACGACAATCAGAAGCCGTGCGTTTGCCGCTTTGAAAACGCATACAAAGTTGTTGCCATTGTCCATCCTTCTGGATATCAGTGATCCATTGCACTTTGCCATTTCCACCGGGTTTTCCTTTCTTTGTTCCTTTTCCTTCCTTGCCCTTTCGTGTCCCTTTGGGATTGTCAAAAGAGCGAGAGCCCTGGCTAGTCGGTGAAAAGGATGGACGTGGAGCTCGTTCGCCACCTGAAGATAACCTGCCAAATCACTGCGGATGGTTGTGAACTCGTGCAATGCATCATCCATATTCCAATCACGATCGGACATCAGGTCTGATATGGAGGTCCAGACTTGGCGGTCAGCGGATTGAGCTTCCAAAATGCTAGCGGTACGAAGGCCGGATTCCGGGTCGAGTTTCTGCGTGAGAAAGGACATGAACTTATGTGTATATGCTTTCAAGTTCTGCGCGCGAGCTCCCCGACATATGGCAATGGCCACACTATGCACTTCAAGCATATTGCGGATGGCATCGGTGCCCATTCCGGAATTTGATATCTCCAGGGCAGGTGGGTCGTCCAATAGCAACGTGGAAAAAGAAACAGTTTCCACTCTGGGGAGTTTTGCAGCGCGCTGGCTCACAACTTCTTCTGCTCGACTCACTGACATACGATACTTCCATGGGATCCATACCCATTGCTTGCGCTGCAATTGATGATGCAAGCTCAAAAGACGTGTCGACGGCATCGTGTCGGAGTTTAAAATTTCCGACGGGTAGTTAGACAAAAACTGTGACTTGAGTTCTTTGATCCGCTGAGGGTCCAACTTCGGGACAAAGCCTTCGGACCATGGCGTCGAAGAGGATGAGGAAGGACCTGTAGGTTCGGAAGCGCTCGTTCCGGATGGACCTGACATCTGCTGAAAGGCGGATTTGTATGCAGCTCGGAGTGATGCTTTTTGCCGCAGGGAAAGCTCCCGACTCGGAAAAAGGTCCTGAATCACCTGATCAAATGCTTCATACGAACTGGCGCAACACGCAAAGGTAGACATAGTCCACCCTTCTGTCAAAAGCTCATGGGTCAAGGAAGTATCCAGACCACTGCAGACCAAGAGGTCTTCCAACGACGACGCCATCCCTTCACAGAAGAGAGAAGGTCCCACAGGGACACGCGCAACGCATGGCCCGAGAATCAGCCTACGCAGGGTGGATAGGAAGAAAATAAAAACTAGTTGAGTAGAAAGCATGGTCAACTCTGAAACCTGGAGAACGCGCGTTTCCAAAAAAGACGAATGTTGAGAAGAGAGAAAACAGCTCATTATGATGGATCGGAAGAAGCAACATATGGTACCGCCCTGAATTAGGCTGTCTTGTAAAAATGAATGCGATGCCTGAGAGCCGGAAGAGTTCGAGAGATACTTACAATGTTCTAGAGCATAGACAAGTGTAAGCACAAAGCTGCACTCAAAAACCAGATGTATCTGATACATCTGTTTTTCAAGGACCGTGGTGTCAATAATGCGTCCTTCTTGGGGCGCTGAACAATGAACAAGCGGGATTTGTGGTGTCAGATCTGTATGAATCTCTTCCGCTTGGGGCGCTGAAGAGTTTTTTAAGTTGAACACACAAATGAAAGTCTTGATCCAAAATGGCGGGTGCAAAGAAAATCCTCCGTAGAACACACATGAACAAGTACAGTACATGTTACAAACCACATGACTCACCTCGGACCTCATTTTGGACACCCTCAGAATACACTGCTTCTAACAGTCTACAATGCACCAACTCACTTTGCCATGGCGAAACATTTGGTTTCCAGCACATGGACATGCTTCTTTCACACGTGCCCAAGAATGGTAACAACAGAATTACAAGCAGTTTGCATACATCCCACGCATACAACTCATCATTGAGAGCCAGTTGATGCCTAAGATAACCATTGAAACATCTGTGTGCAACCTTCTCACCAGTGGCCCTGCAAACATACACTATCCAAGCTGAGCACAACCAGTTGAACCCTTCGGAGAACCTCCCGTCCCTGCCGTTGCTTGTTTAATCAAATATAATAGACTGGACTCAATAGTCTTCACAACATGCCATTGGCACTACATGACTTCTTCTAACCCAAAGTCCTGTCGCACGCGCCGAAAGTGCTTACACAAAGACGCGCCTCACTTTTCACATGGGGCAACCAGCGGCTGCAGGTTCTAGTCTGAGCTTCTGACGCCGTAGACCACTGCATGCTCCTCTTGACCACTAGCAAGAACAGCTTGACATGCTAACACAGCAGTGTACGTACTATTGTACAATCGCACGCTCCACTACAAATGCTATTGTGCAAAAACACTTCTGGCTGCTTGGAATATTCTTGTTCTGAATTGTATAGTATAAACGGTATAGTAGACGAGGTCATTTTGGACTTGCCCTTGGCTTTCCAAATGTTTGTCACAAACTCAATGTCCTGCCAATGACGTTAGCCTTGCCGGTGATCGCCAGCTTGCTGGCAAATAGTGTGTGCCTCAAAAATCGGACGAGTCTAACATTACTGAAAGAACCAAAACAAGTCAATTGGCCTGGCCTCCAACCTAATAGCGAGGGCCTCGACCCTAGCAGCGATGGCCTCCACCCTAGTAGCGACTTGACTAGGGTCTAGGCAAGAGACCAACTTCATCAGAGCAATGTACATGCGAAGCCTTCAAATGGGAAAGATCTTCATGGTCTAGAAATGCTGCGTTGGATCAGCGGCCCCGACGGAATGCTTGGCGCATGGAGACAAGCTTCCGACCCAGATCCTTTGCCTTGGACCAGGTTTTCAAATCCATCAGATTTGCTTTCAGCAATTGACATTTTTGCATGATTTTCTTGTTAGCACTTCTCGTTACTCTAGACTCTAGACCACATTCACCAGGCCTTCAGTATCTCCTTCATGGTGCAAGTGCGAGGTGACTTGCAAGGTACTACTCTTTGCCAGCATCAAATTCAACTTCGAACATAAGCTTTCCATGCGCTCCTGCATTTTCCTCAGCGCTGTCCACCACTGCGAAGACAAAGCCTCGAAACAATGGTCTAGTCTTACACGCACTTCCGCCTGATGAAGCTTGAGTTGACCACCGAAAAGAGCCAAGTACCACAGCAGGTTCTTCTCCTACAAAAATAGGATTCATGCAATGGCCCAATTGTGAGAAGCCCGCAAAGAAAGTGTAGGTCAAAAAAAGGCTGGCCTGAATCTTAACGAAAAGAAGTGGAGTGTCCTCACATGAAAACTAAGGCTTTAAGATGTCATTACAACAAACTGACAAAATCTCTCTGCACGTTGGATCTTGCGAAAGTTGGAAGGCAACAGCCAATATTGTCAAGGTTCATCCCACAAAGCCACCAGCAGCAAAGCTGCAAGGATTGAACCTGAACAGCTGCAATTCTGGCAAATCAGGTCATCGCTCTTGCGAAAGAAGTTTGAGCTCGGAAAAGACGAAGCGTGCCAGAACCAACCTGTCCTGAAATGAATTTCACGGTGCGGAGTAGAGACTTGAGCACAGGCGAAGTCGGTCTTGTCGTGTGGACATATGCCTTCACACTGCCGTCTTGAAGCAAAAATTCAACCAAGACAAAGAGGACAATCCACTAGAGGCTTCCAACGGCCAGCCTCTGCTGCAGTTTGCGCAGCAGACATTCTGGCCTAAAGCAAGGAGCACCGACAGTGCTTGGGCGAAAGGCATTTGAGAAGAATCTCAGCTCATGACGCTGATCTGATGCGGAAGCTCATTGTATTCTCGGAAGGTCCAAAAGGCCTGAATTGTATGTTTCCTGATTGTTTTCCCTTCGATCGTTTAAGGGACAGGTAGCTACTAGGTACAGGACACTCTCACGCACTAGTGATTTGGTTCCTAGATTTTTAGGGAAACTATGAAGTAAAGCTAGGAGTTATAAAGCTATGAGCTTTGCTGAGATTTGTGAAGGATAATGAAAGCTGAGATCCCTGCATAGTCTGACCACTGCTTTCTAAACGGCGAAGTTCTCTGTGAGCGGAATTCTTGGGCGTGGCCTCGGTTGGGCGCAACATGGTCAGCACAGGCACCGTTGGCATCAATACAACAGCTTTTTCATCCTGTTTCTGTCATTGAGTCGCCAGCGCAAAAAGAAGTAAATGGCCACAAAAACAAGCAGAGGAGGTAGAAGGATGAGGTTGACCCTGCAAGTTCAGAATCACAGTTCCTCTCTGACCAGCCGAAAGATGGCACAAGCTTGGTTCTGAGCTTCAGACACCGCAAAAATCTTGAAGAGTCCGGCAAGCACCTGCAAATGAAGCTGAAAAGTCAAGGTTCCAAAGAGTTCACAAAGCCCTTGCTTCAGAACAATCTAGAAACGTAACATGTATGGTGTTTGTAGTTCATCCGATCCTTTTTCTTTCAGGTGGCTTGGAAATCTTCTTTGAAGCGTAAATGTGATTGTTTACAGTGGCTGTAGGAAAGGGTCAGCTTTCCTTTGTGGCGGACCTCTACTCACCCTCAGATCTGGTACATCAGCGTTGAAACTTACTTCACTCATCATCCGCTGCTGCTGCCACATCTGCTGTCAAGGTGTTCATGGCATCATCCGCTTCTGGGCGCATCATCTCAACACCAACGTCGTCCCCACCATCACCATGAAGCTCCATGAGCTTGGTAATGTCAAACTTGGGCTTTTTCAAGATCTTCACCTTGCGAATCAAGCAATCCTTCAATGGGAAAATCCCTTGGGTCTGCTTCTCAATTTCTTTCCCAATGGACTCTGGAATCAGCTTCTTCACCAACTCCCGGAGCTGTACTTTGCTGGCCTCCTGCGTCATGATTTCCACCATCTTCTTGCGAATCTTTCGAATCTGCGCAGACTGAGCGTAGCAGTTGGCCCTCACTTGGTCGGGACGGCGCTTGGTGAAGGCAATGCAGAAGAGGCGAACGACATAGTTGTCAGTGGTCTTCACGTCAACATGTGCCTCAATCAATGTCTGCCACTTCTTGATGAGAGAGCAAATCTTGTCACGGGTCAGCGTCATACCGTGGAAGTCGGTCAGGCAACTGCGACCCTGGACCTCCTCAATGCACAGCCTGATCTTCTTGGAGGCCTGATCCTCATCATTGTTCAGGTCGGCGAGGTTCACCTCCACAAGTCATCACAGCACGTGCTACAAAGGCAAATAAATTAAAAGTGGTTTGACCAGGAAATGTACAAGACAAAAATGCAAAGAAACAAACAATAAAACCATTCACTGAGCTTGAAGCAATTGGCCTCAAGCACTCGGCCTTTCAGCTCTTCCGTGGCAATCTTGGTTCCTTGAGTTCGAGACACCAAGGTCTTACCGCACTGTCGCACCGAGAACATGCTGGGAGCCTTGATGTCATACCACTCCTTGCGAAGGAAAGGATCACCAGCCTTCTTCTTTCCTCCCTTCTTTCCTCCCTTCGTAAGTCGCTTGTTCTTGCCAACCGCCATGATCTCAGAATGATGTGCCCTCTGTCACCACCTGTTCTCCGTCTTTGAGCCAAAGAGATTTCAGGAAGAGGCAAAGGAAATGTATATTCTCTCTGTAAAGAACTGCACTGAATTTGAGTTCCCTGAGACAAGTCCAGTTGAAAGTAGTTCCACTAGTGAACATCAAAAAGTCTGGATGTCCAACTTGGTCTAAAGGTTCGTTGATTTTGCCTCTGGTTTTGCCAGGAATTCTTCCCGAAGCCGCCCACGGTGGTCAAGTGCTGGGACCTTGTGAAGATCAAAAGACCTGTCTTTAATAGCGATGGCCTCCAACCTACTAGCGATGGCCTCTTCTTCCATTTTTCAACCAAGAAAGACTTCACTGGCCCTGGCAATGACAGGTGGGAATACGGCCAGCAAGATGTTCCGGAAAGGTGCATTTGTATAAACCTCAGTGCAAAAATCGTCCAAGAACATGGGACCTCTCACGAGAAAACTTGGGAGCGAACCAACCGGCGCGGAAAACAAGGCCACAGGTTCTTCGTGAAAGCCTGAGGTCTTTTACTCGAAGGATATTGCAAACCAAACGCTCATCTCGCAGGTGAAAGATATTTATATAAGAGCTTCATTCTTCTGGCCAGATATCCCCATCAAAAGGTTGTATAAAGCAGATGTTGAAAGTGCCCGCTGTCACCTTGCTCTCATGTTCCAAGTCATTGCGCCGTCAGTGACGTGCTGGGAAGCGGACATGATGGTTCGTAAGGCCAATGATAAAGTTGTCCTGGCAGTCTATCCCAGCAGCTCAAAAAGCAAGCTTTAAGTCATGTTCCTGTCGCATGATGATGTTGGTGATTTCCAGGGCGGTAAGTTCCTCTTGAACAATGCAGAGTCGCGACTCCTGACAAGAGACACAAGCCACCGTTCCGAATCTGTCGCGGATCTTGTGGTGTTTTAGTGTTTCTCACTATAAAAAAGGCGGAACGAAAAGTCGAGAAGTGAAGCAAACTCCGAACTCTGAACAAAGCTCTGACCTTTTGTCGTTGGACCAGTCTGGAGACGACCTCTGACCACAGCATAGTCTCCAAGCTCTCATCAGAAAGGATGCCCAGCTGGTCCTCGATGATTAGGTCGCTATATGAGTCAGAGTGTCAAAGGATTGTTTTTTGTTCGAAACGGAAGTATTGTCTTGCAATTCACCAAATCAAAAGAATCATTAAATCCTCACAACTTGCAAGGGCGGTGAAACTACGGACACACACACAGATATATCGTACTTAATATGTTTTGTGCATAGAAGCGATATTCAAAGCGCAAGGTACTCAATATCCGTGCATTGCCTGGATCTAAAACCTGGGCGATACAAAACTTGGTGGTTAGAAATTAAAAAACCGTGAAAAATGTCACAGGGTCTGACCCAACCGGCTTCTCTCAGGGCATTGTAAGCCCAACTGTGTCTACCCCATTGGGCTCTGAACTGGTGGAGTAGCAAGACTGTTCTGCAGAATTACTAGCAGGTTTGACAGAATCGCTACGTAGGAGACGCCCTAAGAGTTCTAGTTTGTTAGAAAGAGACATGTCAACCAACAGTAGGTCTAAAAATGCTTAATGACTGAATCCAAAATATTGATTAACTTCTGCGGACAATGTGTCCGGCGCTAGAATACGATCCTAGTACCCCCTGAAAGAAATGCATGGCGCAGGGATGTTGAGTTGCGCCATCTACTAGCCCTTGTCCGCTCATTGTTGCGCTCCTCAAGAGGGGAACCCAGCACAAACGGTGGCGGTAGACTCGATCAAAGGAGATTGTGGAAATTGCGCCGTCAGTATGCTTCTAGGTTCTACATTAAGGTTGAACATTGTAAAAAGAACAGTGGTGTGAAGATGCATGCTACGCATCATAGACGAAGCGCGAAACTCGCGACTATCCGAGAAGGGTGGGCTCAAACAGTTGAAAACACCTACGGTGCGGCCGCCCCGGCGGCCTCCTTTTCCGGACGCGCATTGCCCTTCGCTTGGTGGTGGACTTTGTTAGCTACTACCTGTTCTTCATATTGATAGCGCTGAACGCACTACTCTTTGACGAGCCGGAAGTCCTGCGTAAGACCAGGGTCAAGAACGGCTGCAGGAGCTCTACATTGGTTTTGGTTGCTTGCATTTGCCCCCCTTTCTTCACTAACGGCTTTGAGGCCATCAAGCACGACCTTGTCGAGCTCTACCACCTTGCCACGCACCCCACGCCGACTGATCGACGACAACAAGGACAACAGACCCAGGCTGCATCGACTTCGAGCTCCAAAGGCACTGGCTATGTGGACCTATGGGACAGCTATGCGCCGGTTAATAGCGGTCAACCCTCTGACTACGAGGAATGGCGAGAGGATCCACTTGTACCATCGCAAGATGCCAAGAGGAGCAATGAGCGTGCGCTGAACATCGTGGGATCGTTCACTGGCTTGACATTGAGGAGTTGGAGAAAGAAGACGCTTTCAAGCGCACGATTGAGACCCTGGATGACTCCCGCGCGCAGCTTGCTTCCGACTTCAAGAACTACTTCAACCTTCTCCCAAGCACTGTACGTGGCAGAGCACGGGGAGGCGTACAGAAAGTCTTCTTTGCAGAGCCTCGCTCAGCAGAGAGCAGGGGCAGACGATCACCCCGCGCGCTCCATCTTGGCCAAGACTGAGGTGACCATATATGACTTTGAGACAGGAGCCAGACTATAGCGACGAACCATGGCCTGAGAATGCCAAGGCCAGGAAAAGATTTCAGGAATTGAAGATGTCTAGAGGCTACTTGCCCACAACAACAGGGAGGTCAGCCATCGACTTCAACACCTACATCACAGACCTCACGGCAAATTAAAGGCAAGGCAAGGCACAAGGGAGGCTCCAAGATCGAAGTCCGGCAAATCCAAATGCAAGACGACCATCCGCCATCCACCACAAGGAGCTGGACACTTTTATTTGAAGGGAAGAGCCAAAACCAATATGACATGTCTCCGTTGCGGACAACCTGGTCATTCGCAGAACTCCTCCTGTTCATCTCGGACCAGCCAGAAAAGACCAGCGCCACCGACAACAGAAGGCATGGCACTTCAGACGACCTTCAAGGCCAATGAGGGGGCGTCCTGGCGCAAGTGCTTTCCTCAGTGGCTATGGCCCCTTCAAGCGGTTCCTGGGCCACCCGAAAACCATCGACTTCGCCATTGAGAGCAAGGGCAGACGCCCGTTTCCAATGTGGTGGTGACCGTGCAGACATTAATCGGCTCTTGAAATTTGCGGAAGGAGAACAAGGGTGCGAGCCTGAACTACAACCATCTGCGTCACCCCGATGAGCTGCAACTTGTTTGCTTCTTTGATGCTGGCTTCACTGCCAGGCATGATGGCAACTTGCAGGGTGGCTACATCACGATGTTGGTCGACAATATCATGCCATTGAGGAGTTCGCACACCACGTGTCGTCGACTTCACACGTCGTTACTGGCACTACTTGCTGCACCCCAACACCAAGCCCAAAGAGCTCCTTGAGGTGAAGTCTTCCCTCAAGCCAGTCATGATCACAGACGCCAAAGCCCTCAACTCCTACCACAGGGAGGGGGTCAGTTCCTTGGTGGTGGACAAACGGGTGTCAGTAGAGATCTGTGCGATGAAGGAGCTTGGAAGAGCTTTCCGGCCCCTTGCCGTGGATGAGCTCGGAGAGACAGATTGCCGACGGCCTGACAAAAGAGTCGGCAAGGCTTTTGTTGGCAACTCGCCTATGCCACGGAAAGTTGAAGATGACTTGGGATCCACATTATGTGGCCCACAAGAAGCAGTCAGAAGCCGAGAATGCAGCCGCTCTTTGCAGAGTCTACGGCACTTCCTCCTCTACCTCGTGGAAGATGAGCACCACGTCAATGGAGACCCACTGAATGAGCACCACACTGAGTATGACACTCCTCCTGATGTCAATGACACACTTCCGAATGAGGAGCTGCCTGACGACAATGACCACCATGACATTGTCAGCTTTGCTCAGTATGGCGGCACTCTTGAGTATGTGGACTGTGTTTCTTGGTTTGCTGAGTTTTCCACTGCTGGCAGCCGGCAAGGGTGAATCGGACACCTGCTCGAAATGAATGCCCCTGAAGACACTGGAGATTTTGGCTGAGCTTTCTCATTTTTCTTTCTGCACCCCGGAGTGATGCTGCTTGTTTTTCTGTGTGGCACAGGCCACATCTGAAGGAAAGCCCTGCGACCACCGAAGTTGGTGTACAGGATGATTTGATTGTTTTGCAGCGTTGGCGAGAGCTCGCCAAAACTGAAGGCCAGAGGGCAAGTGAATCTTTGGCAGCAGCTCGCGAAGCGACAGCAGCCCTAGACCTCCAGATTCAAGAGGTCGCAGAACTTAGGTCGTTTGTGGAAGACGCAGGCCAGCTGTGGAGCACCACTCGAATCGGTGCCCCCGTGGAAAAGGAAGTGTTTGTGGAGAATGGCCGATGTTGGCATTTGTACCGATGCCGCATTTTAGAGCAGGTGGATCCATCCAATGTGCAGCCCGTGAAAGGCTGCAGCTTTTGCTCAGAGCACCAATGTCCGCCAGACCGGTATCACGATCCGGCTGGTTGGTGCATCCGCCACGACATAAGCATGTGGCGGCAAGACGCACAGCGTTGTGTTTTTGGCCAAGAACGGCCCGTGTGAAGATGCATGCAATGCATCATAGACGAAACGCGAAACTCGTGACCATCCGAGAAGGGTGGGCTCGAACAGCTGAAAACATCTACGGTGCGGCCGCCCCGGCGGCTTCCTTTTCCACACGCACGTTGCGCTTTGCTTGGTGGTGTTTTTTGTTGGCTACTACCTGTTCTTCATAAGTGGGTGTTTGCAAGTCTTGGTTATTTTTGGTATTCATTCACCCATCGATCGCAGAGCCAAATTATGAGGGAGTAGATGGCGCAACACTTTCTAGAGGGGCAAGAGTGCATATCATGGCTCGTGGATGTTCATTGCCTTGCGGCCAAATCTTGCCGCTGCTGGGGCCGGGACCAACAGGACAGCAGTGCAAGTACTAGGGAAAGGAAAAAACAGGAAAAGGAAAACAAAACGAAAAAGAAAGGTAAAGGAAAACCGGGTAGGTGGCGCAACCCCATGACATGCATGCAGCAAGACACTCCTGGCCCTCTAAACATGTTGCGCCATCTACTCCTTGCACTGGTGTCCTTTCCTGTTTCTTTGTCCTTTTCCCTTTCCCTGTTTCCCTTTCCCTTTCCCTTTTTCTTTGTCTTTTTCCTGTCCTTTTTCCTTTCCTACTCTTTTTCTCCTAGCAAAAAGCAAAGGACATGAGGACATGTTCACGATTGTGAGCCTAGTAGATGGCGCAATGTTTCAAGACCTCATGAGTCGAGGATTCATATTCGCAATTTTTGGGAGTGGTCTGAATTTAACGTTTGGGTAGGGTGGATGGCGCTCTCCACAAATTTGAGTTGAGTTGCGCCATGCTCTTTTTTACGGTGTATTTGGTTTGCTCAAAGGCAAGTGCTGTCCTTGTAGAAGCTTCTCATCTGCGAGGCTTGCATACAGGCCGACAATGACTGAACCACCTCAACTCGAAGGAGTGGTACCAACATGGCAGTATTTCAAGAGTTAGTCTGTTATTCGAGTCCCTTCCATTTTCCATCTGGCTTTCTAGAAACCTTCACAGCTCTGGAAACCTGACCGCCTTCACCCCTGTACATCCAAGGTGCATTGACTCCCCAGTACAAGCCGAATAGAGCTGTGCAAACCAATACCTGATGTACACTGTCGCTCGGTCTGAAAATGCTCTGATGCTGCTATCAATGTTCGAGGCAGTGACGCCCCATCGTCGAAGACCCAATGTGTGCCATTCCCACGAGTACCAAATGGACACAGCCTGACAAGACCTCATCTGGTTTCAATTGCACGAGGCGTCAAAACAGTCTTCCACTGTTTCAGCACTGAGGATGGAGCTCTTCTGAATCACAGGTCATCAAACTCTCCCAATCAATCGAGAATAGCCTCAGCCGCGACAAATCCCATAACAAAGTAACAATCACTTGCTGTGGATCCGGCAGAACGAAAGAAAATACAATCGTAAATGTCAGCGCTGTAATGTGCCTTGGAAACAGTCTCTACAGTACAGTCTTGTTTGTTCAACTATTTTCCATGTCAATCCTAAAAAAACAGCTCAATCATCAGTGCCACATTGCACAAGCTCACAAAAACTGGGGATCACTACGATATGTTGAGAGCAATGATGCCCAGAAATCCTTTGGCCTCATGAGAAACAATCATGACCAAAGTCTGCAGAACCCAAAAACTTGGTTTCACGACCACTTGTTCACAAAAAGAATTAGCTACAGCATCGAAGGGCCTCAAAGTACCGATAAAACCCGTCCAAGAATTTCTGAAGATCTTGCGGTGCATCCGAACCTGGAACTTCAATGGAAGGATGTCAGATTGTCTGACAGAAGTGACAGAAGTATACAGTTGTGAGGCCAAAACCATTTGTTGCAATGGGAGGGAGCCTCAGTCATGCTGAGGCCAACCCACAAGCAACGCTGCCAAAAAGAAATACATTTCTACAGGAACATATCTATATAATCGAACCTTTAGTCTGGGCTGAGACTCCAACCCATCGGACAAAGGTTGATACATGGTCAAAAGCGGTGCTCACAACCAAGACGTGCTAGACTTACAAGAAGCTAAGTGAAAACAATTAAAAAACGGAAAAAACATGTCAACGGTTAGATGATTGAGGTTGCTCAGGCTGCTGGGTCTTATCAATGAACTGACCTTGCTGGGTCTGCACAGGCAACGCCGACAAACCCTTGCAATATTTTTCGGCTATCAAGGTCCGCTGCTGTGTTTCCTGAAAGCCTGATCACATAGAACAGAGAAACTCGTGTGTGTGTGTGTGTCCTACCCTGTTTCTAAGGGCTTCCACTCCACAAATCAAGATCCTACACATTGCAAGCAGGGGAGTGGTGCGCAGTCTTGGAGTCACCACTCAACGAAGACACTCCTTGCACTGCGGTGATATCCGGAAAAACGCTTTCCGGACGTACCTGCGGATGACAATACTCCAATTTTCCTGCTGTTCCTTGGCTTCATGGTCCTTGCACGATATACCCCAAAACCTTTTTGCAGC